ATATCATCTACCTCGGCCACCTCTACTACTTTCAAGCAGTAGCACTACGTCGAACCACTAGCGCTTCTACAGCAAGTAACACCAGTTCAATCACGACTGCTACCGTCCGTGTATTTTCATTCGATTTGGATCGATTCTAATCTGTGTGATAGACGGCTGTGACCAACTACAATCCCACGACCACTTCTAGCCATTCTTCAGTTCTCACGACTGAGACAGTAACCAAGTCCACCCATGTGTCTTCGTCTTCGTTGGCGAGTGCCAGTGCGAGTGCCAGCTCTACGGCCAGCGCTGACACCGGTATGAGCACAGGCACTATCATCGGTATTGGTATTGGCTGTTTAGTCGGTATTGCCTTTGTTGTAATTGTCATTGGATTCCTCATTGTAAGTCCCCCCCCCCCCCCCCTTCTTCTCATCAGTCTTCTCATTCACATTGTATTAGCGCCGCTGGCGTCGCCACAGAGAGGACAAGGATGTATTTGATGCATCCCAGTTCCGTAGCTCGGCTGTACTCCTGGATGACGATATCTCAATGTCAGGGGATTCCGGCCGTGGTGGCTCAGGATGGAACAGTCATCTGAGGCCTCCAACCATGATTGAGCGTCACGTCAATAACAGCCCCGCTTCGTTCACTCAGCCTCAGTATGGATATGGTCCGCAGCAGCCGACTTCGCCCACCTCTTTCTCTCCAGGTCAGATCGTGGGACCTGGGCCTTTCAATGAAATGGACATTCCCTCCGGTGGCTTCGATAACGATCCTTTCGCGGCGGCTGCGTATAGCAGGGATCCATCTGTGATCAGCCACGATGCCTACTTGACCAGGCAACCTTCTCAGATGGCCAACGAGGTGCAGCTCAATAGGGAGCCCTCCCAGGTATATCACGCTGATCCATTCCAGCAGCAGCAGGAAGCGCAGTACGTAGACTTGAACAGGGTTCCGTCTGTTGGAAGCGCCGATGCCGTTGGTGTTGCTGTCACCACACCCACTCAGGAGGTTTCTCATGATTCCTCCATGACACAATCTGCTGTCGTGTCTTCCATCCCTTCGTCAGGAGATGCGAAGCCCACTGTTACGTCTCCTCTCACCTCCCAGGCTGCTTCGGCTCCCGCGCAGTCCAATCCTATTGCCAATGACCCTGCCGTAGCCTCCCGGAACCCCGCCCCTGTAGGTTCCAAGAGGCCCGACACCGTCTACACGGTGTATGACCCCGAGGATGCGTACGGCGGCATGTAAGCGTATAGCTGTACCTCTTTATTTAATAATCCACACTCTGTCTTCTCTTCATTCAAGTCCTTTTACCTTTGATTATGATTTCAGATGCTGGTACATTTACGATGGAATATTTATTATACGTCTTGTTTCGGGGCATGTTGTCCGTGTTGTATATATTCATCGTAAGGTATCTTATTATGTTACTTGATACCCATTTTCTGGTTTTATGATTGCGGCAGTAGCTTAAGCAATATATTGTGTGGGTGAAAAATAGTTCCATCTGAGGAATATCATCACCTACTTAACGAGTAAATTTGTTTTTTTGAATTGATACCTCACGAAGGATATGCACTTTGTAGATGACGTACCACAGAGGGCTGTTAACTATATTTCAGACCAATATGGGTATCTTCGAACTCGCAGATAGGTCGTCTCTTTCCTTTGACGATCGCGTTATCTCTTTTGTTGATTCTGTGGATACTGATTTCAATTCCGAGTTGTATAGAGCGAGGTGAATGTACTCTGGATTGGGAATTTGTTCGACTCGTATGCCGAACGAGGGAGGGTACCATCGAACGGTGCTTTGCGATGTCTGTTAGGGGAACAATCTTTCACTGTTCTACGTGTTCGGAGTCGAGGAACCGAGCTCATTGTGCGTAGTCCCACACTTCTATACCTGCATCTGGTGCGCCCGAGTGCCAGCATTGCGCCGTGCAGCGATGATAATTATCCAGTTTGACGAAACTAAGAGCATTGATCCATTACAGTACGTTGATAACGAGTGACCAGTCCAAATATTCGACTCCCTGTTAGTTTACTGGTGAAGCGTTTTAAATATGCCTCGAAAGCTGGGTTCGATTCCCAGCCAGGGAGATCGCGGTGGGTTCATTCGTACGAGTGTTACGGAGAACACACCGCGACTATTTTGACTTTGCTCCCGAAAGAGTAAGTATCTAATAAAGCAGCTTGCCAGGCTACTAAAACCTTTCCAGCGAGTTAAGTTACCAGTAACCGACCGGCCCGAATCCCCGGTGTATCAAAACCTTGGATTTCGTACGCAACCCCACCGGTATCAGAAACTGTGGGCTAAAGCCCTCAATAGAAGCTATTTTGACGGGGGTGAAATATCATCTGGGCTTAAAGGACGACCAAGATGTGCGAAACTAAAATGCAAGGCTATACTCCTTTTCTACTAGTACGCTACAGTTTTTAGGGCCAGGGGCATGTCTAGTCGGTACAATTAGTATGAACGTGTCGCTATGAATTGTAACAGCAAAATACAAATCTATTCCTCAATCTCCTACTGGCAGCATTGGAATAGGACATTACTTCCCCACACCACATCAAGGTTTTCATTACTCTGGAGGAGTAACGAGTAAATATCTTACCCTCTGGAAACCGCGACATATTTGAAGCAATCTGAGATAGCGTCACCGTCTTCTGATTCTGGTTCCCCGTATCCTCTGTGCCAGCTACAAATCTCTTAGCCGGCACCTGCTTAACATTTGGGTCGCTGAGCCGTCAGAATTGGCTTGCCAATCCAACACGTTAGAGTTCACCACCTTGCGCCTGAGTACTTACAACATCTACCCAACATACCTCCATTTAGTTCTCATAAGCGGCAAGCATTAATCCCTTAGACTATTCTACTAGAGTATCGCCCGTTTCAAAGAGATGGTCCGGCTATTATTTCGCTCAAAGTCTGGTGCACATAGTAGAATAAACAATACCATGAAGTGTGATACCTGCACCACGTTTGCCTTTACAGACTGGAGAATTATTTCCAAGGGTCAAAGATAACCTTTCCAACTTCCCCCTTTTCGAAGGCTCGATACATTTCCGGGGCTTCATCAAATCCAGCAATCCTGTCGACTAGGCTACTAGGATCACCGACGCCTCCAAACACGTCTTGTCGCTTCGCTGTGAAACGTTTGTGAGTATAACAATCATGGCAATGCCATAGATTCTCACCCAACAACTCAAACGCAGGAGGGAACATGGTACGGGCAGGACATCTTCCAAACTCAAGGGATACGTTCTTGTTATACAGCTGTCGTCCTGTGAATGGAACTTGGTTTGCTCCATGAACTCCTACGGATATGATAGCACCGAAGTCTCGAACGAGGTCATAGGCAAGGCTCAGCGCGCTATTATTACCGACCACCTGGGTATGATATGTTAGCTTCGAGTATAACACGATGACTTCAACCCACCTCGAGCACAGCCGTACATCCTACACCAGAAGTCCAAGCCTGAACCTTGGTCTTGGCATCTTCGATCGGACGCAACGATGAATTCTCCCGAGCCTCTTCCATCCGGAGAGATCTTTGAGTAAACAGCTTGCATCTTCTCTCTCCTGCTCTCAATGGGATCGATCGCGACAACGCGGAAAGGGTACTGTCCAGCGGAAAGCAGATCAAGCAGACTGACTGCTGCACATATCCCCACGGGACCTAATCCCACAATCGCAAATGTGAGGGTCCTATCCTCTTGTACCAGGGCGTCTTGCTTGGAAGGGAGATCTTTCAACGGGAAGAAATTCAACGGACATGGCCTTCCTGTGAGTGCCGTCAGGACCTTTGGATGGCTCAAAGCCTGCATGGCAGCGAATACTCCAGTTGGTAGGATATCAGCGAGAAGGACAAGCGAACTCTCAGATATCTTGTCGAGGGCTGCGGTGGCAGTCTTATCGGATAGAGAGGTAGACCATGAACTGGTATCACTGAGGTTGTAGAGCGTTCCCCCGGCCTTTGGGACGCGTACATATTGTGCTTGGCCTCCTTCGAGTGCCGGGGAACCAAAGAGGGCGCCGTGAGGGCATCGACAAGTGTATCCCAGCCGACAAACACTTGGAGAGGTATATCGTTGGTCAAAGCTTCGAATGTAAAATTTATCGAACTGACCTGCATTCACCGCAGCTTACGGTGAAAGGAGAGACGACCTTGTCACCCACTTTCAAGTTCGAGTATAGGTCTGGGCGCCCTTGGGCTTGTCCTCCATAGCTCAAGCCGAGTTTCACCACTTCGCCGATGAACTCGTGTCCACAGATATGGCTGTTCGTGTTAGAGGCGAGCTTTTGCTGTGCTATTCTTCCTACTCACACTTTGTTAATGCCCGCATGTCCTCGATAGATGTGTAGATCGCTCCCTGATCACAATCATTGATCGGCTGTCCGATATGAAAGAAGCGGGCGGCGTACCACAGAGAGCTGCCAACTATATCCCCAATCAGTACGGGCATCTTGGATTCGAGGCTGCAAGTAGACGGTCTCACCTTTACTTTCACGATCGCATCATCTGGTTCGTTGATTCTATAGATACCAACTTCAGCTCGTACAAAGAAAGACTTGAATCAGATAAACGTACTCTGGAACGGGAACTTGTTCAACCCGTATATCGAACGAGGGAGGGTACCATCGGACGGCGCTTTGTGTTGGTGAGGTCATGGTAGTTTGGATCAACTTTGATTTCCAATTCAATCTCCTAGCACCATGGGTCCTGAAATGAGCTGCGGAACAGAACATCCATATCCTCATTTGGTGTAGTCTTGCTACTGACTTCCTTTGCAACCTTTATTAGAATATGTCCATTGACAAAGGGGCCGATTCAACGGGTTGAGCATTTCAAAGTTCTTCAGACGGGCTCGAGGGCAAACATTTATACGAACCCCATTAAAATGTCGGGCACTAATTGGAAGGTTTGGGATTGAACGATACGTTGAACAAGTAAAAGTCTGGGTTATAGTAAGAATCAAAGCTCAGGGCGGAACAGTCCGGTGGCGCACTTCCTATTACATCACCATGTTCCTTGTTCACGGGTCGCGGTCAGCTGCATTTTGAACTTTCCTTCGAGCTTACTTTCAGCTGAGCGCGGATATCCGACCCGTCTCATGCGCTTTCGATAGCGATAAAACTTGCTAGAGGCAATATTGAAGACTGCGATTTTTTTGTCTTTGCTTGACTCCTTGTCTCCATCACAGGTCGTATTGCCAACCATCTGTCTTCACCTTTCTTCTGAGACGTGACACGTCAAGCATACTCCTCGAATCTGTCGCTGTACTCCGACCAAAACTGGCTTCATCTCTATAATCTACTGTCGACATACAATGTCTGGGTAAATGAATAGCGGCTGTTGCTCAGTTGGTTTAATCGTTCACTGAGAAACTTGAAGGATGTTTGGGATGTTTCTGCTTCATTGACACAGAGAAAGTTTGCTGCAGTTCAACTCACTACGCGGTTCCCTGTAGATGCTGGCAACATCCCTCTATTCGCTTGCAGTCGCAGATGAATTTACATAAGCGAATCCACGGCGATATGGACCCCCGACATCAGCTATACTCAGCTCTCTATTAGTGTATCGGGGAAGCGTGCTACTACGGTCGCTGCAGGATGGGTTCGAATCCCAGCCAGAGAGATCGCAGCATGGACCTTCCCGAATGCGGGAGGGTGTATGTTGCGCGATTTTTTTTACTTAGTCATCTTGGTACTTGGAAATTGAAGCATGAAGAATTCTTCATCCAACGTTAGGTAGTACTCTTTATACAGGTCTCCTCGTCCGATATTCGTTAATATGTCTGCCGTTCATAGAGAATTGCGTCTGCTTCAGGTTCAGAAGTTTCAAGACTGTACACTGCGACTCAGAAGTCGTCTATCTGGTGCAAATCATTAAAACATTTCACCGTTCATTCACTTGTTCCTAATCACAAACTTCAGCTTGAACATTCAGCTTTTAGGGTTACACCAGAATCAGCGGCCTGTCTTGTTTCGGTTAATCGCGGCTATCAAAACCATGCCTTCCAGGTTCCTCCCTCCCTGACAAAGTTCATCTTTGAATAGATCTGGTGCAGATACTTCTTTGTGTATACTGCATCGTCTCAGCCCTCGAACAATCTGAAGCATGTTCGCTCGCAGGCGTGGATTCATCACATAAACGAATTCACGGCAATGTAGAGCTAGCTTCTCTACAGCCATTCAGCTCTCTGTTGGCATATCGGCGAAGCGCGGTAATTGGGCTTCAAAGGCTGGGTTCGATTCCCAGCTAGAGAGATCGCAGCGCCTACCCTCCTAAAGATGGGAAGGGAGGCGCTGTGACTTTTTGGTCCTCCGCTACTGTGAGACTACTGCCGATGCGCTATGTTGCGACTGAATGTATTTTCAATGAATAATGTGCGTTGTTATTTTCCACTCGACATCCCGTTGGCTCGTTGGTCACCGGTCAATGGTCTGGCACGGTATGCCTTTGTAAAATGACCTTATTCTAACCTCATCCACATATATCTTTGGCTACCATGAACCTTGAACTCTTCTCGAGTCTCGAAACAATCTACTGACACTCAAATACGCCTCTTTTTCCTGTCTTTCTCAGCGGTGATTGAGTCATCCTCTATGGTGGATGATAGACTTCAAGTTATCGTACTTCTTTTAATCCTTTCAGTTAGAATGACGCTGAGAATGCTTTACTTGTCAATTTTGACACGGTACCTTTGTTCCATGACTTTCGTTTCCCATATTGTGTTTATTTAATTTCTGAGAGAACTTGAACTAGTTTTTTTGACCTCTCGGGGGAACTTTGAAGAAACAACGGATGCACGCGGACCGAGTAAGCCGAGTGATGTCATCAACACCTCTTTTTCTTCTGCACCAATACGCGTCGCATTCACTACACCACCAATACCACTAACACCAACACCACGACCGAATCTAACCTTGTCGCACACCTACTGCAACGTCAACGACAGAACAACTTATCCGTAGGTCACTGGAACAGGTGCACGATATGCAGACTATCGATGAGATCGATGAGAGGATGAACGAGGAGGGGAGCGGTAGCAGTGCTGGAGTCACTATCATGAAAAGGGCGAGGACGACGACGGATAGGCCTATTCGACCACTTCCTACATCCAGGACGAAGAAAATTGCTGGAACGACACCGCTCAAAGCAGCCGCAGTGCCCTTCGTGCCCAACCCTAACCCGCTGATGCTCCCTGTGCAGGCACATGTGCCTAAGGGTGCAGCAGCAGCGTCTCAACGACGTCTTTTTGTCGTGCTGGAACAGGCCTGCTTGGAAGCTTACCGTATCTCGAGTGGGAGTGCGAAGGGCGGCAGGCATGGTAAGGGAGGCGAGGGCGACGTCAAGTATACCTTGCTCAACTGCGACGACCACCAGGGTATCCTCGCCAAGACAGGAAGAGACATTGCAGATGCTAGGCCCGATATTACTCACCAGGTGCGTATTTTTTTAGTCTGTCATTTGTGATCTCTGATGGTTAAATTTTTTTGTGCGATTAGTGTCTGTTGACTCTCCTGGATTCGCCCTTAAACAAAGCTGGCCTTCTTCAAGTGTACATCCATACAGCGAAAGGCGTGCTCATCGAAGTCAATCCGCATGTCAGAATACCGAGGACGTTCAAGCGATTTAGCGGGCTGATGGGTACGTACTTTATTTTTTCTTTTCTTTTTTTCTTGTTTTCGTTTACTAAAATGAACTTTCTCTCAGTCCAACTACTCCACAAACTGTTTATTCGTGGTGTCAATGGTCCAGAGAAGCTATTAAAAGTCATCAAAAATCCCGTCGTCGACCACTTCCCACCCAACACGATTAAACTGACGCTGTCGGGTGACGCCAAAACCCAGCGCCTTTCACAATACCTACCCACACTACCTCAGACTCATAACATTGCTGTTTTCGTGGGAGCCATGGCTCGTGGAAGGGATGATTTTGCGGATGCCTACGTCGACGAAAAAATAGGTATCAGCGAGTACCCACTGAGTGCTAGTGTTGCTTGCGGCAAGGTACGGAAAGCCCCTATTGCGCTTGATTGTCACTGAACTTTTTTTCTCTCTAGTTCTGCTGTGCACTCGAAGAGCTCTGGGACATCGTTTGATCGCCTTCATCTAGACACAAAGAATACACGGTGAGGATTTGTTGTATTATAGACCGGCGGCCGCTTAAATGTTATTTCTTAGGATCAAAATGAAGGTTTTTGAGTTTGTATTATTTCCCAGTCACCGGACAAGGAGGAGGAGGAAGAGCAAGGTAGAGCACCTGACGACGGACATATATGGGGGAGGGATCTGGCGGCTCTGAGAATCTCCCGTTTCCTTAGAAGCCGGTAGAGCACACCGCGGTACAACTGGTCGTACGGCTCTGTCTTTTTGGCAGTTCAGCGGCAGCAGTTCTCGCGGGTAGACTTGAAGAACACTTGGCCACCTTAGCCCTGATTGATCATCGCAGTTGTCTTCCAATACATCACTGTAAGCAGCGAAATGTCGGCTTTTACTTACATTACTTTTGACAGAATTGTTCAAAAATTTCATTGTATAAAGTTATCGTGACCACCCCAGCAATGATCAGGTGTCAGACTGCACAGCAGAAATTCTCGGACAGCCCTGACAGTGGTGATTCCTTGCAAGTTGTGCGACTCAAAGACAGACACTCAACCTGGATACTTTCAATCGTTCTTTGCATACTTACAGATGCCAAGCGTGCGTATGAACTCCAAAAACCCTAATATTTCGTATGTACTAGGCATTGAACACCGGTAAATACCAATCCAAAGAGAAAGACAGAACGAGGATACAGGAGATGCATTTGTCCTAGGCTGCGACAGGTTCAGCGCTACTGAAAGCGAACGAGACTGAACGACAAATCTCACCTCAACCCGACGGCAACGTTCCTATATCATTTCTCGGATGCGAGCGCATTTACTCACTGAAAATCGGACGGTCAGCACTGGGACACTCAAGGAAGTCTAAAGTTCACTTACAGGAGGGAGAGGGTGATGTCGCCGTTGACCTTGGCCTGGATGGCGATCTCCACCTCGAGGTTCAGGTCCAAACGGAGCTTCAAAGCTTCCTTGGGTACGACGGCGCCCTTGTTAGAGCGTCCGACGAGTTGTCCGCCAGCGACGGAGGAGGTTTCAGCAGAAGAGAATTTGGTAGCGGTTTCGGGGGCAGACATGTTGGTGCTGAGGATGCTGGTAGAAATTCTAAGTCTTTTATATGCTTGGGAGAGGGTACGGGCAACGTTATGTTCGCTGTCCGTTTGCCCGATGCACGATCATAGCAACGGCATTGGCGGCCTCGAGGGTGAAGAAGCTTTCCCCACGCCAATCAATCCTATTTCGTAATCGACTCTTCCCGCGGGAGAAGGTGATTCATGGACGCTGATAGGACGGTGTCGGATGCAGATGAACATGAACGCGTCTGGAAGAGTTTCTCACAGTGCCGCGGTAAACTTATATGGTGGGTGATTGTGGGTCCAGGCTGACCATGCTGAGAATGACGAAGTCACTTTCTTCTTTTATGTGGGATTCGACATCTCTAGGTACGTTCAACATTATTTTCAACTATCCATAATGCTGCCGCCTCGTTGTAGTGACTTGATCTTCAATCAGGTAGAAACTCGTGCAGCAAAGGAAGGCGCTAAGCACGTAAACAATTTTTAGGCTGGTGCTATTTCATAACCCAGTACGAAGGCTGTCGTATGTTGGCTGGACGTGGCGCGCAATTTGGTGAAGTATTCGACAAGTCTCCTCTCGGCGCCTTTACGTTGCTTATACAAAGACATATGGATCTTTGTAGGTCCAAATTTCCCATCTCGGGCACGACTCAGCTGTTACATTTTGCAACCCCCAGCATGGCCGCCGAGAAACACTGTAAATTTCCGCATCACAGCTGAAAATCCTTGCTGGACGCCAGAGTTTATGACATCTGTCGGTGAGGCTTTCCTTCTAGAATCGGACCGTGGTACATCTCGACATCCATGTATCCCAGATTTCAAAACCAGGAAAATACGAGAAGACACATCTTCCTAGCAGTCTCGTAAGGAGTCAGTCTCACCTTCGAAGCTTACCCTAGAAACTCAGCTCACTTCTTAGGGAAAACCAGCTTGACCAAATGTCGCCAATGCAGCCACATCCTTCGCAGAATATTCTACCGGTCTCATGGCATCCAGAAGCCCGCTACCTTTGCCATGCTCGTGAACGCCTTACGAATCCATGTACGCAACTACACTGAAATGAAGCGATAAGGCTCTCTGCTACTCTCTTCAGTATGTAGATGCAAACTCTGACCTTGAGTAAGATGCTGGCGTCGATTCCCCCGGAGGACGTGTTTGTTCCACCTTCTAATAGGTGCTTCCAGATTCTGTATATTGTCCAAATCTTACACATGTGCAATAAAGTCATCTTGAAAATACATATAGGATGAATCCAAATCTGAGGACCTTCAAGATAGTATTTGTTTCATCCGCCCGTGACGATCTCCTCTATTAGTTCCCCACGCCAGAGGGCCTAGTCAGCCATAGGCTCGTACAATGGTGGCGCTTCTCTGGTACATGAAGGGTCAACATCTAGACGATGTGGAGACAGGGTGGTACAATGGTCCTGTCTCCGGGTGTCAGGCTTTGGCCGGCAGTTGCCAGGATTGCTGATAGAGGATACAGCAGCAGTTTGTGTATGAGGATCAGCCGAAACGAAAGGCGTTATCGGAGGGTGCGAGTGGTTGGGTTCCGAACTGTGTCTCCTTTGTCGCCGATATAGAATAAAGGCAATGACACCCCAAAACATGGCAAGAACCCCAGCAAGAGCGAGTCCAACGATGAAGCCCGTGTTCGGGCTTACTGTGGACGTGTCTGTGGTGGTAGTACCAATATCCGAGTTGTTGTGGTCAGGTTGACCATCGTCGTAGCTTTCAAAGCCAGTGAGCGTTTATGTAGCACAAGTACTAATGATTGACATACGAGTACACGATAGCATCGAAAAGTGTTAATGTTCGCATTGGTGCGCCGACACGTCCGTTCTGGAGTGTGAATCTGTGTTGACCAGGGGGGATAGAAGTATTGGAATACACGGTGTAATTATAATCGTAGCCTAGTTCTCCGGGAGGAGTTTTCACGAATTCGCCAACAAAGTCGCCATCGATGTAGAAGCTCATATCTGAATTCCATGCTGCGGCTCTAGTGAGGATACATATCGCATAGATGGCCGTGCCTAATATATCTAAGTCAGCAAGATTCATTTAGTATTTTATGAGAAAGTGACACTCACCGTTGAATGATGCAGATACGTTGGGTGTCGGATAAGGATTAGTTTCGTTGTCTGCATAATGCTACTTACAGATATAAACGAACGATATCCTGAGCCAATAGACAGAGGGAACTCACTGTGGAATCATGCCATGTTCCGTAGATAGCCTGCGACGCATTAGGTACTGCGGCGCAACCTGGGCACGAACTCCCGCCGACCTCCCAGAGGTCAGAATAAAACAAAGAGGGGCTCTGATCGTCGATAGTAACATTGACGAGCTTTCCATGGACGGCAGTTGACTTCAATAGAAGGATGTAAACGAGACAAGAACACACCGGCAGTGTACAAGGCATTACTTGCGTGCGGTAAGAACGTTGGGAAGATTGTATGTGAACAGTCTATTATAACTCGAACCTAAGTCGCAGGTGGCATGCTGTGAACATCAAAATATCAGATGCGCATCAATAGTGTTTTTGTATCAGAGAGTGATATGTATCTTGCCTATTAGCCGAGTCTGATGGGATTTCAATACAAGAGCGGGAGGGTTTGAAGATGTTAAGTAAACGTCCTCATGCTGAACGATCACGATAGACTAGAGTGAATAGCAATGATAGGTATCATCGCATAGTAATCCCGATACTTTGTACTGCTGCGGAGAGCTTTTAGAAATGATTAATGAACGACTATAGATAGAGGCCTAGTAGGAATGGCGTAGGTGCGGTTCAGGCGGGGCCTGTCGGACCAGGTCCGAGTCACACTGTCACGCTGCTTTCCTTAGCACAAATCCAACTTGCGACTCAAGTACCCTCTTCCATCACTTTAGGATCAGATTCACTTTCTCGCTCAAGCTCTGATTCGAAGGTTTCGTCTGCGCCAGAAGAGCACCCAATTTCGGTTGACCATCACAACTGGGGGGTATGTACCCCTGGCGCAAATCATCTATGCTATTCATCTCCTCAGCTTCGCATTTTCGCAGCCCGGCCAAAGGTACCTTTCGAAATCTTTGACTTTTGGGCAAGACTCATGTATTTCTGCTCTGAAAGGTGTCGGCTGGCGGGATATCCCTCTAGGTGGACCACTCAATTCGGAAAGCCTGCGAAAAAGAATATGAAGCTGGGGCCGGGGCCGGGGCCGCAATGAAGGAGGTGCTCGCAGAATACACGAAATGGCTAGAAGAACATGATGAAGAACTAGGTATGTCTTGATTGATCATATTCAGCTCCATCTAATGCTCAGTTGATTAGGGGGATGGTTCAGGAGCTGCGGAGGAGATGAAGAACCAGACTTGACTCCCAGTGAAAATTCCGTCGAGCCGGTTTGAGCCAAATCAAGCTGCAGAAATTACCATATAGCGTAGTCGAGCCGGATCAAGCGGCGTCATACAAGAAGGCTTTGAACTCCAAACCTTCGCCTCTTCCATTCGCACATCCAAGAATTACCAGAGTAGAATCTCTCTGAATCCGATGATTGACTGAAACGCGCCGAATATCGTGAGCCAAAATTGGCAACTTAAACTTAAACTTAAAGTCAACGGTTCCGTCCACGTGCATGTTATCCAGTGACGTGATTAACGCCTCTCTCTTTTCTACCACCACCATACCCATCGTGTTCGAGCTTGTTCGCCGTCCTCGTTGTCGCTCTACACCCAGATCCTGTATTATCTTGGGATGTGGCTTCGTACTTGCTTTCGTAGCCTCTTACTGTTGGTCTCTCACTGGGCAGCACATGCGAAGACCTGCAGATACGATGCTACAGACTGAAACTGCCGCGCAAGGTGGATATATGCGCCTTGTTTGGACACCCGCATTAGCAATACGTCCTCAGAAGACTGGTTTGAGCTGCAGGATATCTGGATATCTTTGAGGTACGTCTCATTGCGCTCTTGTATGTTTTCTTTTTTCATGTTTAGCATGTGTACAGTCGCTCCATAAGCCGTCTAGGCATCGCTATGGGTGTAGCCATGGTATGTTCTATTCCATATATGCGTGTATTTCTGAGCTCGCTAAGCCAAATCTTATACAGGTCTCGCTTGCCACCATTCCAGCTGGCTTCGACTTCGTGAGTAGCCCTTGAATCATCTTTTCCGTCATTGTAGACTGATTTAACATTTTCTAGTGCAGTCTATTTCGATACTTTTATCTTCACGTTGCGAAATGCGGTTGGGGTATCCGAGCAGGACAGGGCTAGCCGTGGGCAGAACGGAAAGGGTTATGCTACTCAGCGTATGTAGTAGCGATGTGGTTCTATACATATTAATAGCAAAGAAATCGAGCCCTACGAAGCCTAACGGAACCCTATGGTAACGACATACCGAGCTCGAAACAGCTCGATTTGAGCTGGTAAACGGTTCACATTTCGAAGCCATGGCGAGCGGAATAGAGCCCCAGCGATCATTCCCCTGGGCTTGATTTGGCTCAGTGTGGCTCGACCGACTTTTCACTGGGCTTGACTTTTGAAGAACTGTGATGCCTTTCTCTGTTCCATTCAATTGTACATTAATACCACTCCATACACCAATTTAGCATGTACCCCGAGTCTTTGATTCGCTGACGCTCCCTGTGCAAGTGCATTTGCCCAAAGGTGTAGCAGCGGTGTCTCGACGGCGCCCCTGGAGCAGGCTTGCTTGGACCGTATCTTGAGCGGGAGCGCAAAGGGTGGAGATACCGAGGATGTTCAAGCGGTTCAGTGGGCTGATGGGTGTGTCTCTTACCTCTTCTTGTCTTTTCTTCCTTTGCTAACATAGGCGTGCTAAGTTGATGTTGCTGGACGATGCCAAAACGTAACGCCTTTCACAATACCAGCCCACGCTACCTCAGACTCATAACATTACTGTTTTCGTGGGCGCCACGACCCGTAGAAGGGTCGGTTTTGCGGGCGCCTACGTTGATATCAGCAAGTGTTCATCGAATGCTAGCGTTGTTGCATGGTCTAAAAAACCCCCATCTTGCTTGATTGTCGCTGACTTCTTTCTCTCTCTACTTCTGCTGTGCACTTGAAGAGCCCTGGGATATCATCTGGTCGCCTTCATCTGGACAAAATGGAATATACGGCAAGGGATTGTCATATTATTAATTATAAACCAAAGGCTGCTTAATTGTTATTTCTTACGATCAAATTGAAAGCATTTTGAGTCATTTATTTTCTGAGCGGTACGACCCTTGCGATCTGTCTACTGCGGTGTATTCTTCACTTTCAGATGAGCGTGCGTGTATTCAAATCTTAATGTATGGAACCCCGAAAAACCCTGATATTTTGTGTGTACTAGGCACTGAACACCGGTAAATACTAATCCAAAAGAGAAGAATGGAACGAAGGCATTTGTCCTAGGTTCGCGACATTATTGAAAGCGAATAAAACTTGGAACGCCAAATCTCACCTCAACCCTACGATCACGTTCCAATACCATCTCTCGATTGCCAGTGCATTTACTCACTGAAAGTCAAACAGTCAGCGCTAGGACGCTCAAGAAAATGAAAGTTCACTCACAGGAGGGAGAGGGTGATGTCACCGTTGACCTTGGCCTGGATGGCGATCTCCACCTCGAGGTTCAGGTCCAAACGGAGCTTCAATGCTTCCTTGGGTGCGACGGCGCCCTTGTTAGAGCGTCCGACGAGTTGTCCGCCAGCGACGGAGGAGGTTTCAGCAGAAGAGAATTTGGTAGCAGTTTCGGGGGCGGACATGTTGGTGCTGAGGATGCTGGTAGAAATTCTAAGTCTTTTATATGCTTGGGAGAGGGTACGGGCAACGTTATGTTCGCTGTCCGTTTCCCGGATGCATGATCATAACGGCTGCCTGGATGGCCTCGAAGGTGAAGAAGCTTTCTGCGCCTACCAATCCTATCTCGTAATCGACTCTTCCCGCGGGAGAAGGTGATTCATGGACGCTGATAGGATGGTGTCGGATGAACATGAACGAGTCAGTTTCTCACCGTGCCGCGGTAAAATTGTACGGTGGGTGATTGTGGGTCCAGGCTGACCGTGAGAATGATGACTCCAATTTCTTGTCGCAGCATCCTTCATTATTTCCCACCACTCGCAGTCTTTTCCCTCTCGCCACCGGTGGCTTCGGCCGTGCCCGATTGTTGTCAATTCTCACAGAACACGAGTAAACGCCTTGACTACCAGGAAATATTCCGGAAGATGTCAAGCAGCCCTGAGTCTGGATCAGACTTTTTTTTTCGCAGAAGCGTGATGAGAGAGATGTTCCCTACGCCTAGAAGATTCAGATTTTCGACTCGTGAGCCTTAGTTTTGCCTTGAGGCTTGTAAAATTTCAATGGTTTCTTCTAGTTACGACACCGCTTTTCTCGTAAAGGGAAAGGCTCTGAATTTATCAACGCCACTATGCTCACGCGCTTGTGTCTTCTTACGATGCGTCGGCGGCGATGGAGTTTCGGACAAATTGCGTGATCACAGAGTTGGCGGTTTCGTGGTCCCCGGTGAAGACGAGTATGAATAACGCGCTTTCATGGTACCGAATCTAGTTGGTCATGGTCTAACACCTACATCTGCAGTGCTTACGATTACCATGATAGGGTGATGCTTCCATCGTGTACAGAAACCACTACTTCACGTTCTTGTCATTGGAAGATTCCGGCGTTGATGAATAGAACCACCATGGAATAGATCTATAACTAGACCGATAGCGGAGGCTTTTCTCCAACATCGACGCCAAAGTCGGGTCAGCAGTTAAACTCATTGGATGCGGCTTACTTATCTTCATCGTCCATCTGCATGCAATCCAGGGATCGTCAGTAAACCAAATGCCAGCATTCACGAGGAACATATCCATGCACGTATTATCTAGCGAGCCAACCCAGAAGAAATCATTTCTTCTTATCAGAAGGGATTCCAACGCATATCGTCCCCGAACGGACCGTCTGCGCTAGGACATACGGCGGGACGTTACACATCCCAACCTTCCTCACGAACTCATGCAGCTCCTCCTTGCGGTCTACCAACATGGAAGTCACCCCGCTACCATGGATTGCAAGTATGATCATTGCGTTCGGTATGTCAGTCACCAAGACCTTGACCATGACGCGGCTATTCAGATCCACCAGGGTCCCGTTGCTCGGCTTTTCATCAGAGAAGCTCCAGCTCGGTATGAGCTGACGTTTCCCCCATGTGATAAGCTTTGCCAGCTTCGGGTCTTGCTCACCAAGGCGCTGCTGAGGCGCGCGTCCCCAAACTTTGTCGCTGAGGAATATCCATCCATCCCGCTGCAGATAAATTGTTCCGACTAGCATTTCCAAGATAGCGAATGAGATAGAGCCGAGCCAAATGATCTCAATGCCAAGAAATGGGTCGCTCCTTCCTTTAGACAACCCGATGGACCAAACCAGAACAAGGATGCCCACTGACAACCCTGCTAGTCCAGTCATGTCCTCGTTGGTGTATAGTCCGAACGAATCTCTTTCCAAAGAGGCTCGCAACCCTATCGTTTGGCTGCCAATGATGCTGAGAGGTGTCTTAATTCCCGATCTGTCGGGAACTCCCACTGGAAACGCGTGAACAACCGGTTCCAACCTTTCATTCCCCGCAACAGGCTCAATAGGAGGACCCAGCCAACTGCCATCCCCCAATCGACACACCGCTGCCAAACTCGCTGCGTTGTAAAATCCTTGGTTCAACTCCAGCAACCACGCAAGGTCTGCCCACCCATCTTCTCCTTTCAGGTCCTCAAGTCGCGCGCGGCGGGGTAGTAGCCCATTCAGTGCCCTCCCGAGCATGTTTTCTTCATACCCGCCTTGACGATTTCGAATGATGGCTTCGACTACGAGGGCGTGAATGGCATTCTGCCATGCAACGGAGCCGGCATTGGCAGAGTGCTGCATGATGGCGTACAAGTGCCAGCGGTTCCCCAATGCGGCCTTGCTCTGCATACGTTCACGGAATACGCGAGCAGGCTCTCGGTATGCAAGCGTTGTCAGTGCATGCGGGTGGTTCTCGTCTTTCTGCCGCGTGAGACGAATGACAGCCGCGGCATGTAGTATCTCGCCGATCGTGAAGAGACGGGTGCCCCAAATACACGAAATAGAGCTATGATCGCAGCCCTCTTCATGGCAGAAGACGGCAACCTGAGACGCATTGCGGAAAATATCGGGAAGACGTCCGAGTTCTTTGGACCGTTCTGGGGTATCGTCTGGCAGGTGTTCGTCGGACAGGCAAAATTCGTCGAGCCAGATATACTCGGTGCGGTTACCAGCGTCTCGAGTCGCAGAACAGTATTCGATGAGAAGCCGTTCAGCGATACGCTTTCGGTCCTTTAAGGAGAAAGCGCGTTTCTCAGTGGGCGGGTCCTGCACTTTCAAACCGGCTTCTCTGAACAAAACATTTGCACTCTCCATGGGATAGCTCAGTGCTGTGTATCCCTTGTTTCTGATCTCCTCCGACCAGCAGACCTGCGTCACCAGTGCGATGGTGCCGTCTACGATCTCAACCATTAACAACCACTGCGGAGTAAAGCCAGTGGGGGCGTATACACCGGATCCGCCGCCTGGAGCGGTGGTTAATACTGCGTCAGGTGTAGACGTCAGTTCAAAGGCCCAAGATGAGCTGGCGAAGTTTGATATCTGCACGTAGACTGAATGTGGGATATAGATGTAAATGGGAGCCAGAATAATGAGAACGATGATACGGAGTGTTTGGGCGAGGACATGAAAAGTGTCGGTGCTTCGCCGTGAAAACCAGCATGGAGCTATGACACCGGGGTCTTCGATGAAGAGACGCTGAACTCGAACACGGGAGAGGGCTGAAAAGGGGGTGTACACTAAAGCACATGCTTTTATGAACCAGCTGGGCAGAGGCTTGTCGTAGGCGCCCAGATACGTCACATATATTGCAAAGGGGAAAACAAAAGGACGCCCTCGACATCGGTTCAGAACTGCTTGCCCATTGAAAGGAAGTAAGGTATCGCTCACAAGGTATTTCGAAGACACTGAAGACTAGCCCAAGGACGGGTGTCAATGCCACGATGTTTCCGATGACCAACCCTCTGATTGCGGCAGGCCGTACCATTGTTGATTTGTTCTGTCTGGCAGACGGAATGAGAAGGAGAAGGGCTATAAGAGTAGGGTGAGCTCACTCTACAGTATGCAGGGATCACGCTGAAAGTGAGTGTTGAGTACAGAGAAGGCCTCGTGTAGTACGGAGTACGATTTTAAGCGCCCACAGAGCTTCGATTCCAAGGCATTGAATTGAACTAATCGTATCAATCAAACACACCCCAGCCACTGATCCAATTATGCGCCAAAGCCATCCATGCAGTCACATACGAATGCGAGACAGGACGTGTGTTATAAAGACGATTGAAAGACAGCGAAGTCTACGGTTCAAAGCAGTGTTTTACATCCTCGCAAAGATTGGAAATTTGGACGTCACATGTGGAGGAGCAAGTGGTTCTGAAGGCGTCCCAAGCAGATGGGCGAAAGAGCAACTATTTAGATGTATCTCGTTCGAAATATTGGCAGTAATCGGGGGCGTTCGAAATTGAATGTTGAAAGTTCACCTTGCATGGCGGTCGTTGGTAAGTGTGGCCAAATTTGTCAAATCTCGGGGATTTCCGGTGGCAATCAAGGCCCGTCACTATTGCATTTTCCGTCTTGATTGCATGCTCACTGGGTGTCTACTGGTGTCTGGGACTTTCCTTTCTTCACATATAATACCTCTCGCACGGTATTCGCATTTAGAATTGCCAGAGATTATACTGAAGGTTCTCCGATCTCGTTCTCACTCTAACAAAGCCTTGCGCGCTCTGATCCCTCGTTATTATTCTCTTTGAACACGAAGCAAGCTCTTATACGCTATCTGATCACTGTGATGCCAATGCTAGCTTCTCTAACGAAACACGGAATTTGGGCAAATGAACAACGACTGTGGCTCTGGTTTATTTTTGAACGCTTCATGAATGACTCCTTCAAAAAAAGAATAACAGTGATATTTCTACAGCATCGACAGAGAGATCCAGTATGTCCCGGGACACTATGCAGTGCAATTTCCTGTTTGAAGTATTATTAACCCCAAGACGTCGCTTGCCAGCGCGAATCCATTTACATAAACGAATCTACGACAATAAGACTGGGGCGACACTGCATATACTCAGCTCTCTATTGGTGTATTGGCGAAGCGTGCTGGCACGGACGTCACAGGCTGGGTTCGAATCCCAGCCAGAGAGATCGCAGCGTACACCCTCCCGAATACGGGAGGGTGTATCCTGCGCAATTCTTTTTCTTTCTCATCTCAGTACTAAACTGAACCTAGGAACTTTATTCATTCATCCATCTCTAGGCATTGCTCTTCATCCAGGATTGTTCATTTGATGTCCCTTGATATGTCTACCGTTTACAGAGGATCGTCTCTCCTTCAAGTTCAGAAACTCTACGACTCGACAGTCGATTATCTCTGGTGTTAGTCGTTGAGCATTCATTCTTCATTTATTTGACCCTAATCACAGACTTCTCAGCGTTCAAATTATAGGGCTACATGGCCTGCATCCGCTCGAGAATCATCGTTTGTTGAAGAGACGTACGTTTTCGTTGTAGAGCAGTGTGGAACATAACATGATATTGACATCCAGCTTACCAGTTAGAGTCGTTCAATTAAATCAAAGCATAGCTCCAGGATGGATGGCACTCGCTATTCAACAATTGAAAGCGCGTTTGCTCGCAGGCGGTGAAGCCATCACGTAAACGAATTTGCGGTAATGTCAAGCTAGTTTCCCTAGACCCATTCAGCTCTCTGTTGGCATATCGGCGAAGCGCGTTAACGGGCTTTAAAGGCTGGGTTCGATTCCCAGCTAGAGAGATCGCAGGGCACACCTCAAAAATGGTAAGCACTGCGCTGTGAATTTTTTGGCTTCTCAGACAGCCCTTGCAATAGTAAATTTTCCTTGCGAGTTTGAGTACAACTATTCCAGTTGACTTTGAGTGACTACTCATGATCTGACCACATTGGTACACGGCAGATTGATCTTTCATTTGGGCGTGCGTATATTCAGGATCTCGCTGTATGAACCCTAAAAACCCTGATATTTCGTATGTACTAAGCATTGAACACCAGTAAATACTAATCATATGGATGCAAGGAAGATGGAACGAAGGTACAAAAGATGGGTTGTCCTGGCTTCACATCAGATCCTGAAAACGAACGGGACTCTGAACGACAAATCTCACCTCAACCCGAGGGTCACATTCCAATACTATCTCTCTGATGCGAGCGCGTTTACTCACTGAAAATAGAACGGTCAGCACCAGGACGCTCGAGATAAAAGGTCACTTACAGGAGGGAGAGGGTGATGTCGCCGTTGACCTTGGCCTGGATGGCGATCTCCACCTCGAGGTTCAGGTCCAAACGGAGCTTCAAAGTTTCCTTGAGTGCGACGGCGCTCTTGTTGGAGCGACCGACGAGCTGTCCACCAGCGACGGAGGAGGTTTCAGCAGAAGAGAATTTGGTAGCAGTTTCGGGGGCGGACATGTTGGTGCTGAGGATGCTGGTAGAAATTCTAAGTCTTTTATATGCTTGGGAGAGGGTACGGGCAACGTTGTGTTCGCTGTCAGTTTGCCGGATGCATGATTATCATAGCAACGGCGTACGTCCTCAGGCTCTATCATCGGTCTCGAAGACGAAGAAAATTTCTACGTCTAACATTTCATAATACACGTGTAGAACAGTGTCTTCCTCGAACGCTATTGGTGACTCGATATTCTTCTGAAATTTGGGAGGAGGAGGTGCAAGACGCGCCCGACAGTCGTGCCATGATAGTAGATGCTTATGGGTCCCACTTGACTCTTTCAAACCGGCACAAACCGGTACATATTCTGATCGTGGGATTCGAACGTCAGTTTCAAATTTTCCACTACTCCTGCTCACGGCTGTTTTCCTCATCTCTTTACCAATGCCTGAGAGATGCTCACTACTTGCTCGTGCTGTCAGTAGCCGCCACTCATGCCTCGTGAATCCTGCCAAGCACCTTGACTACCTATAAAAATTTCGGACGGTGTCAAACAGCCTTGGGGTCTGGAAGCAACGCTTCTCGTCATTTGGAGTTCTTTTCGCAGAATCAGAAGATAATCAATGTCAACTTTGCGACCAGGAAGGCGAAAATATCTTTGAACTCTGGTCTCCAGGGGTGACTTCTTGTTTCGAGCATATCCGAGGCTTGCTGATCGTTTTATAACAGCGACCTTGCCATTGTCGCATTTTTCGCCATGGAACAAGGAGGAAGTTGGTACTTCTTCCCTGACCGAGAGGGCTGACCGCGATGGTGGAAGTCTGGATGTAGAAAAACCTTTGGTTTCGGTACGTCGGCTTCCCCTTTTCTCGTGAACGTTGTTCGCAACTAAGGTGAACTCAAGTACCTCTCGTTTTCACGCAACCCAGTCCTATGAACTATGCAAAACTCGCTCTGATGCTGGTCCCAAGTTCATGCTGGAAACGGAGCAGGACCGTCTGAGCTTTCGAAGGATTGAACGGAAGCTTCATTGCTGCGATTCCCGGTGGCTGAATCAAGCTCATTTGAGAGAATTTTCCATTTGGAGATGTGTATCTCTGCACTCACTCGATTTGGCTTGATTTGCAGGAACGATAGTAGATACCTTGGTTCACTGGCGGATAAGGATTAACCGAATGAAACCATTCTTCGAACATCCGCCGGTGGCCACTCGTTCAAGCGAGTTACGGGCCCACATTTTCAAACGGCGTCAACAACAGTGAACATTGGCCCCTCTTGCATGGTCCTTTGTCTTTTCATTGACCGGTCCTTTGTATATCAGGGTCGACGTAAGACCATTGTGTATGCAAAAGGCTGATTGTACCATGAATCCGGTAACGACATCTTGTCTTGTCGTGATTCAATTAAATATATTTCATTTCAACAGTGCCACCTGCTATTTCGAACAATGAAGGCACAAAATGGCTCGCGAAGTTTCCAAATCCCCTTAACAAGCTCTGAACATATATAAAGCATACCTGCATAGGTTGGGACCATTCATAGATTTTTCCTTTTCTCCCTTGTACGTGCTAACCGCTAACCACTCACTTTTTTTCTTCCCAGCCTCCCTCTCCCTCTCCCTCTCATCTCCCATGCCTGTACAGACTCGTTCCGATGCCACACGTACATTTGCTGAGGCGTACCAAGGCCTTCGTCGCTCAAGCCGCATTGGTCCTCATATTGATTCCCGGTTTTATGAGCCACGCACGCGCAAATTCAACTCATCGAGGAGAAAAAGAAAACGTTTTTTGAAGCCCATCAAAGTGACCAAGAAGGTTAAAGATGAAGGCGACGACGATCCCTCTAGCACCCCCTCTTCTTCGGCCCCTTCCGCAAAGAGACTATTCTCTTCTAGTGTGGCTTCTGCTGTGTCTCTAGGACCTGTATCGGCCGGCAAGGAAGCAACCATTCCCGCAAGCGATGCAGGGCCCAAGAATGTGGCCAATCGACAGTCCATCCAGTCTACTTCGTCTAGGAATCCCATCCTCGCTCGCTCATCTACTCAGGTCACCAGGAACAACTTGGCAGGAGCACAGTCTATGGAACAAGAGGCTCCAGTATTTGAGGAGGCCTTTCAGACTCTGAATCTGTTCGAGCGACGTCAGAGCAGGAACAAGATGGCCCACAACACCGACAAGGGCAAGATGAAAAACATGCGCGTTTCGTTGGATGCCAAGAGGGAGAAGCCTCGCAAGCGGGTTCGGGCACGCAGCCAGTCGGTGATCGCCATGCAGTTGGGTATGGGTCTGGGACCCTTGCCGCACACGCCTACCGGTAGTCGCCAGAACACGCCTACTCTAGTCGATTTGTTCGCTGGGCCGCCGATGAGGGAGAATACGCCGGTGCTTGGTCCAGTGGCGGGTCCGTCGACGCAACCTGGGGCACTTGACTGGAGGGAATTGACACCCGACGTTCCTACGCGCGAAAACACTCCCCAATCATTCCATGCTGGTCCCATAGCGGGTCCGTCGATGCACGATGGGGCGCTTTAAGACTGGAAGGAGTTGACGCCTGTTCCTACGCGTCAAAACACGCCTCAAGTCGAGGCTGGTCCGTCAGCTCCACCTGGATCGCGAGAAAAACCCTTCAAGTTGGACCTAATTGAAGAGGAACCAATGGATATCGACGTCGAGTTTGACTCATCCAAGTAACTATGCCGATGGGACGATAGTTTATGGACATTTTTTAGTGTGAATCTCCGTAGGCAGGTCCTACTCCGCGTAGACATCGCCGTTCTTTTCTTTATTACTACTCTTACTACTCTTACTCGCTATTTATCTACCAAGAATGTTTACTTCTTGTATCGTTCTATAGAATTCCAATCTCGAGGCATGGTATCGACCAAAGTGCTGATAGCCGCCCTTAGGCGCCCCGCATCTTCCTAACGTAAAATAGTCGATAGTGATTGCCTAAAGTGGGGAAATTTATGGGCGACTAAACTAGTCGTTAAGTCACGAATCAAGGGCTGACTTGTGATTCGAACTTCAAGTTATTGAGATATCCACATTTGCTTGTAACGAGAATTGGGCGAGACTGTCACGGTACTACTACCCCTTCATTTGCCAAGTCCCCTTGTGAGACGAACTCATGCTCAATGAAATGAACTTCTTGCTAGCTTTAACCACGCACTTCTATGCTTTGAACCTTGTAAATAGAGGGGACGACCCTCAACAGAGCTATCTGGGGTGGTTCCATATTTAAATCAAGAACACACCGCGGAATGCTGTATACCACCTACTACAGCGCCCTCAGGCAGTACGCTATCTTCGTTTCACCCTCCTTGGTTGGCACCATAAGTACAAGGGTCAATCTAACGTCTTCATTCATGCCACTCCAACTGCATTCAGAATCATATGGGCCACAGGCGCTTTTGCGTTAAACTTGCGTCAGATGGTCGTCACTCGGGCCACTGTAATCAGCACGCCATCGCTTCCATTTCCTAGGGTATGATTGTGGATACAAGCTATAGATAGGGCAACAGCTTCAGAGGTCCTTTTTCAAGACGATTCGGGAAGTTCTAATAGACGCTCTTTGTCAATGTGACCCAGGGAGCTTTTGACGTCTAGAATGTTAAGCTCAAAGAGGACGTTATATCCGTCGTCGCTATGCACATATTGAGTTCACGATGGACTAGATTACACAAATCTAAATATATCTGAACAGCACCGTGAAATGGCAGTCAGACACCCTCAAAGGAGGGGTCCAGTGATAGAGCTCAGCTCGTACCTATGACCCCATAATTCGCTCCACTTCTAGTAAGACTCTCGCTCTTGCGGCAGAACCTTCCGTAGTACTACCCCCAATCTTCTTGCCATCGCCCATCCCCGTGGTACTGCCTTCATGGATAAGCGCCAACATTTTCACAAACTGCTGACCCCACATATCCTTAGCATCGGATCCGAGAACAGACAAGCCAGCTGCCATTATACCAATAAGTTTAGTCAGTAGGCGGAGTGAAAGCACCGAGATACGTACTAGCCAAAAGCTCCGCTCCCACTGCCCGTTCCAGCATAGCCCGTCCTCCGCCGTCTGAGCCAAGGAGCCTAGCGATCCACACCCAAAACATCGGCGTCCGCCACATGGGCCCATTCAACGGGCCCTTTTGTGGTTGAATCGCCAGTACACCAAAGTATACTCTCATAACCCCGTTTAGTCGCAAAATGTACATTTCCTCAGTCTCCCACACAAGATCGCCGTTGTCGGCTGTCTGCTGCCGATATCCCATCGCTTTCTTCTCGACCACGTTGCTCCATGGTTTCCCATCCCAGTCGCGATCACCGATGAGAGTAGGCACAGCCCATCCCCCAGTCCGAGCCACAATTCGCGCCCAGAAGACCTGGTTAAAACCGTCGAGTTTCTCAAGGAGGTTGAACGCGACTTTAGATAGTGGATAAGCGGATTTCTTCTCAGCCGTCACTTCGGTTTCAGCCTGGAGAATGATGGCCTTGGCGAGAGTGGATAAAAGAGCGGCGTAGATGACAGGATGATGTCCTTGTGGAGGTAGCATAATTTGGACGAGCTGTGTTGTCTATGATATCCCCTTAGCGGATTTAGGACACGGGATGTACATACTGAAACCTACAATGCGGTTAATAGTAGCCTCATCATGCGTTAACTGTCCCATCTTGGGGGTAATTTGACGACGAAAGGTACCCCATGTCGATTTCATCTCCGCTGAGTTCCCGTGCTTGTTCTTAACCACAGAAAGCACTTCGGCCTTGAGCGCCTAACAAAATCATAGAACAGTCAGCTGAAAACCGAACACCGGAGAACGTCTCACCTGTAGAGTCTTCCTGGCCTCGCGCCAATCATGGTCTGCAGTACTCATGCCCAATTGTTCTCTCGTCCCTTTCTGTGCCTCGAGTTTTTCTTGCCTAGCCTTCTTCTCGGCCTCTACTCTTTCCGTTTCCTCCCTCTCCTTCTGCTCTTCTTCCTCCTTTTTCCTCTTCTCAGCCTCCTCCTCTTGACGCTTCTTCTCCTCGTCTGCACGTTTCTTCTCCTCTTCCAACTGTCGTTTCAGCTCGGCCTCTTTAATCTTTCTCTGCTCCTCATCACGTATACGCTGTTCTTCCTCCAATTTCTTCTTGACTTTCCCAGCGTCTAGAGCAATTGCCGCATCTATGCGTTTCCACAATGTATCCTGTCGTTCTTTCCACTGTTGACGCATTACAGCTTCTTTTTGCTGATGTCTAGACCACAATTCGGACAGTTTCGCATCAACGGCGCGCTGTTCCTCCGCGTGTTTCGCCTGGAGTAGTTCCATTTGTTGTCGTTTGGCACTGTCTTGAGCATCGTGAAGGAGTGACTGGGAAGTGGTGTGATTTTTCCGGGCTGCTCGCTATTATAGTTTAGCTAGGTCATCTTGCAACGGAACTGGATACGTACGAAAGATTCTCGCCGAACGTTTCTTTCCCAATCTTCATAAGGGTCATTATGTCGAGCCCGTAATCGTATAGACGCCAGGGCTTCTTCCATCTGTCGCTGTTCTGATTCTGACAGGGCCTTCGACGGCGACTTTGGAGTGACATGAGTAGATATCAAAGATGATCTATGCCGACTTTCTTCAAAGAAGATAACACAAAGACATGACAACAGACTCACGAAGTGGGGCGGGCACGAGGTGGAAATTTCTTTTGACTCCGATGGCGCCATTGGGGGGAGAGTTCGTTGTCGGATGCAGATGAATCAGAATCCTCTTCAGAACTTGATATCGAAGATGTTTCGTCGCTGTCGTCATCTTCGTAAACGTCGTCCACAACGTGGTGCAGTCCAAAGGTGGAAGGAGACGTCCTTGTTCTTCTCTTGAGCAGTTATACCATGCATACAAAATGCACATACCTTTCCCTCACTGGAGAGGGCGACACGGAGCGGGGGACTCCAAATCTCATGAGTGCTTCTAAGAACCTCAATATCTCATTAATGAGCTTGCCACTGCCTAGGCGAGACTCTGCTAGTGGATTGTAGACAGAAGTTTTCTACAAGGCCAACAAAGTGATTCGAAAAGGAATACCAGGAAAATGGAGAAGGTATATTGCAGGTCGTGGTGGTTGGACTTCAAGATTTCGGGATTCAAATGTCATGTTCTCGTTTCGGTGGTTTCGGTCACGTTATTGTCACACGGCGATGCGGTCCGGTCTCTTAGACCAATTTGGGAAAGTGTTCTGTCACGTCACCCCCTTGACGCGTACGCCCTCCCATTGCAGAACTTACTACCCACCACCAATTGCTCTTGCCATGGAGAACTTATTCGCTATCACCGGGAAAGGATATGTTATCGTTGCTGCAGACACGACATCTGCACGCTCCATCGTCAAAATGAAGGTCGACGAGGACAAAATCAAAGTCCTCAGTCCCCATTTACTCATGGCGTATTCTGGTGAACCAGGTTTGTAACTCGTTCGTTTTGCTGGCGGATATATCCTTACAGATATATTGTATAGGTGACACTATTCAATTCTCTGAATATGTCGAACGCAACATTCGTCTTTTCCAAATACGCAATACATACCCTCTAGGCCCTTCAGCAGCTGCGTCATGGATTCGGAGATCTGTGGCAGAGTCTCTGCGTTCGCGAAAACCGTACGCCGTCAACCTGCTACTTGGAGGGTATGATACTACCAAGCATGAACCTCATCTGTACTGGGTGGATTATCTTGGAACAATGACGGAGGTGCCGTTTGCCGCTCATGGTTATGGAAGTTACTTTGTACTAAGTTTATTGGACCGGTGAGGTGGCTGTTATTGTGTTGTGAACCTTCGGCTTATTCGGATCGTACGTATAGGTACCATAATCCTGAGGCGTCGCTGGAAGAAGGACTCGCGACCCTCAAGCGATGCATCGCCGAAGTGGCGAAGCGTGTGGTTGTCAGTCCCGGGCAATACAAAGTCAAGATTGTAGACAAGGATGGCTCGAGGGAGGTAGAGATTTGAATGAGAAGCATTGTCGCTGTACGTGGAGGGCAGGCTTTGACTGCTGTAAGGGTATAATAATCATGCAATGTGACCGTATCTTTCTCATTGAATGCTCACCTGGCCATTTCCGCCAGAACGTGTTTTCGGCGACGACAAACACCGATTTTCACGAGAAACAAGAAACTTGCACCTTCCACAGGCACGCAAATGTTTCTGTTCGCATGTCTTTCGTCTCAGCGGCACTCTCACACCAATGCTACGGCTGATTATTGACAACATGTTTCTCACCTTAATTGAATTACTACAGCTGGGCTTTGGTGATTGATATTGCCTAGGGTCTGTTCGGGTACTGCCCGATATTTATCGCATGAAATGCGGGTCAAATCTGGCGAATGTCAACTGCCGCTGGGTTCGAATGTGACATGATGCTTGCGTTATTGATTGTTGAAGCTAGGTAAGATTTGGAGTCATGGAGTAATCACTCCAGTGAAACCCGAAGATCCCTCGCGACTCCTGATGCAATGCCAGGCGCTGGCCATCTCGGCTTACTAGGTGAGAATGCGCTATGCTGTGTGTTGGAAAACGGGGTATCGGTTCGTTCCCAGTGTCACATGCGCGGTAGCAAGCCAATAGTATTGCGCTTGGCTGAGCTCTGCAAACGCATGAGGATCTACTCTACAGTACCTACTTTTATACTAAATGTACTTTTACTAGAATGTTCCACGCTTGTCCTACGACTTCTACCTTAATAAGCAGACTCGGCATGATGCCGGATTGCCAAATCCCAACACTGTGTGCCCCTCCTCATTTTCCACTGTGTTGTGCTAAGAAATCCAATTACCGTTTATGGTCACCGATTATCCGCCTCCACCACCGCCATCATGATAAGGACGCCACTCCATCCATCCTAACTGATGACCACCCAACGCTGCTACTGATGAGTGTAGCGCCTATCTCAGAGGCATAATCATGTCTCTGCGAAGGTACAGGATGGTCTCAGCTCGGCTTTGTCGGAGCAATGGCAGTAGGGCAACCGCCATCAAGACAATGACCAAAACAACAATACTTAACGATTGTTGAGCAATGGGGTGCTTGAATGCGATGCTCTATGCTTATAAAAGATGGTGGTGGGTCTTGGCAATGATCGTTTACTTTGAACTTGAACCCCCCCCAACTTACAGGTCTAGCGCCCTCTTCTCATTTCTTTCCTTAAACATTCGCTCTTTCTGGTGCAATTTTGCCAATGGTCAACTACACTATCCTTGCTGGAGGTTTCTCCTCCGCGATTGCCACATTTTTCTTTGACGCCGGCGCCAAGTCTCTTACCCTGACGCAGCAGAGTCCGTCAGGAGAAAACCCATCATGGATTGCTCAGCATCCTAATAACAGCCTCATAATATAGTACGTCCCGTCTATCGCTCAGCTGACCATGTCTTGATCTTCTTTTCATCTAGTGCGGTTAATGAAATACAGCCCGTAGGGAACTTGCAGTCTTTTACTGTTGGTGACACAGGGGTTCTATCACTGGTGGATACCGTGTCTACAGGCGGCAATGGGCCTACTTTCACCAATCCGCTTTCGACGGGAGAAGTAACAGGCATGAATGTAAGCCACCTGTTTGCTATTGACCAGGTCCACATCTAAAGGCTGTGGTGATATATCCAGTTTGGATCTCCTAATTGTTCCTTCGTTGCCACCGTCGCCGATGATCCCCTTCACTTCGAAAAGGATTCCCCGATAATTGACTTCCCCGTGGGCCCCAACGCACCGTCTAACCCTCACATGTCACTTGAACACAACGGAGAAGTCTTCGTTCCAGACTTGGGCGCAGACAAAATCTGGAGAATCGTAAATGACGGTGCTCCCGGCAAGTTCAGAGTCCAGGGCCAAATAGATATCGATGCAGGTGCTGGACCACGGCACATTGCTATTCACGGTACGTCTCGAACCCCACTCGTTCCCTCCGTCCCCGGAACTACAATCTGATGAAAAGGCTGTGTCTTCCAGATGACATTCTTTTCACGGTGCATGAAAAAACCTCCACGTTGACTGCTCAACGTATACCCGAGGCGCCTAACGGTACAACCCTGCCTCTTCTTGCTAATGTTTCTGTTGTACCGGCCAATCCCCTCGAAGGAACCTCCTTCGCCGCGGCTGAGATCCTCATCTCCACTCCGACTGAACGTTTTCCATCGCCACTAATATACGTGAGTAACCGCAATATCGGAACGACGATCGATCCTGCGGGCGATACAATCGCAATCTTCCAGTTCAATAACGAAACAAGTTCTATTTCAACGTGTACGGAGAGTACCAAACGGCGGATGAAGCGCGTAAACAGGATCACAAAGCGGAGCATAGAACCTCTGGAGCTGTTGGCCCAGGTACCCACCGGATTACAACAGATCCGGAGCATGAGCCTCGGCAAAGTCGAAGATGGTGGGGACGAATTTATCGTCGCGGGCGCTAATACTGTTGGTGGTGTCGTCGTTTTGCAACGAGTGGACGAAGGCCGTAATTTGGTGGAAGTGGCCCGGAATGAAGACATTGCAAACCGAACGAGTTTCATTTTCCTTTGATGTTCCTTAGAAGTTCTTAAGGAGCTTTCATTTGTAGCCCTTGCATTCATTAATGTATCCATATTGAATGAAACGAGCTTTCAAGCTTGAAATTTCATGTTCTTGTGAATGTGTGACCTCGAATTCGAAGCTTCAGGCTGTTTCATGGGACAAGTCAGACTACCATGAGGCCTGAACCTGACCTCAAGGCTTACCGCCGGCAACGTCTGGCCACGATTTCTCTCTGTGACAGCATCTAAGCAATCCTCTTCTAGTAACAACAGATGAGTGACTTGTTGTCCGATATACGTTACACTTTAAGTAAACTCTGTTGTGAAGTATGTAGGATCCGGATTGGGGCTCATTGAGATGGATAGTAGATAGGAAACTGATGCTCAAAAGTACCAAAGTCATGGTGCCCGGTAGCATTTACCTCGGCAGCTTGGTACACGCTCAAAGGAGACGAGAGATCGGGACGGCTCAATACGGGGGCCCAGGGCGGAACTTAAATCTCCAGCGGCCGATTTTATTCTACCCTTCTCCCCACCCATCAACTCCAGCATAAGTCCTATCTAAATCCAGTTGCCTTTTGCCTACATTTTCTTTTCTTCCTCATAGAGAACCTTCGTTATCATTTATGGTACAGGATCACTTTTTGGGTTAATCCTGACTCTATTGTTGCTCGACAGGTTGTCAGATACTATATCTAATCAATCAGCGAATAAAATATGTGGGCGCTTAAAATCAAATTACAGATCTGATGGTCACAAATTTTGGTGTTAGATGCAGCTGAATGTTTCGTCGCAGAGGTCATGCCAGGTAGCGTTAAGCGCCAGATCATTTAGTACCATGTGGCGCTTCTTTGTATACAGCTCGAGCCCTGTTCTTGTATGGATGTTCGGCATGTCTCTTTGTCATTGTCATTAATTTGATTACATTGACAGTCGCCATCCCTCATTGACTCCGTGCTTGTTGGTGTTCTGATCCCAGAATACTCCTTCTCACGTAGCAGCCTTAAAACGCACGTTACCTCTTCAAGTTCTTTCTTCCTTACCTCTCATTCTCCCTCGTTAACTCGCTCGAATTTCAACCACTTTTCGTATATGACACTTTCAGAAGTCTCTCCAGATTCAGCAGACGACCCTAGTCCACCTGTTGACTCTGGGGCCTTTTCGTCGTCCGATACCTTGGTCGTTCCGAGTCCCAGAGTATCCGACCCGGCCCGGGATCTCGTCGACACTGACAAGGCTTCCTCGCCCGACGGTGGTTATGGTTGGATCTGCGTCTTCTGTTCTTTCATAGTTCACTTTTTTGCCCTTGGGTATGGTTCACAACCATATAAACATCGACGGAAATTTATTGTCTGTTAAGGATCGAGTCTTCCTGGGGAGTGTACCAAAGCCATTACTTCACATCACGCGATTTGGGTCCTATTTCCAACTCAGATCTAGCCTGGGTCGGGTCCATCCAGGCAACTGGACAACCACTCGTTGGGATGTCAGTATTTAATAGAGGTTCCCATGTCTACGCGTGACTTACGCCACTCTGAACAGTTTGGCAGGAATTCTGGCCCAGCGCATCGGCTACAGACTAACAGGATTTATCGGGACATGTATTATGTGCATTGGTTTGATCTCCGCATCGTTTTCGTGAGTGGTAGTATGCCTGGACGGGTGTATCCTAAGCTAATCTTTGATGCAGTACTCACGTATGGCATTTATACCTCACTCAAGGTCAGTTATAGATATTCCTTGCCTGGAGCCATTCGATGTACCTTTGTAAGGTGTGTTATTCGGCATTGGGAGTGGTTTCGCGTTCATTCCTGCCGTCTGCATTCCTTCGCAATGGGTGAGAGTTTCGCATATTGGTGGCCGGGCCTTCTTAACTTGTGGTTACTTTGTGGCTACCATATGTGTAGTTTACTAAACACAGAGGTGCTTCGCTACACCAAGCTGTAGTACAGGAAACATTGACGCCCGTTATCCAGGACTTGCCACAGGAATAGCAGCTAGCGGCTACGGTCAGCCCGACCCTTCATTTGTTCTTCCACTCTAACACATTAGTGTCTGCAGGTGTTGGGGGTTTATTGCTCAGCCCCTTTACGCAGAGACTCATCGACCTCCTGGGGTTTCGATGGGCTCTTCGAATCACGGGACTGATGACTCTAGTTGGTAAGTCATTAGTGACATATCTTCAATGCTATGCTTCAAAGGCGATGCAACTTCCTATTCATCACCACCGGATGTTATGTGGTTCCGCCCTCATCCTGTGTTCTACGGCATCTTGCTTTTTGCTTACACCGCGCTAACGAATTCCTTCCTTTTTTTCAGCCCTCGGAGTAGCTGATATCTTCCTTCGGCCCCGTGCATCGGCCAAGCCGGCCACGAAGGTGGACAAAACATTGCTGACGGATAATGTGTTCTTGTTTCTGTGTTCTATTGGATTGCTCAGTGGTCCTGGCTTCTACGTCCCTATTTTCTATGTTCCGGGTACGTTTCGCGGTATCACAATGACAGGCTTAACGATTCTCACTCTTCTGCCCATTTTATCATTCCTGGTTTCTTTCCTCAACTCGTTTGTTCCAGACTACGCCATCAATAAGCTGGAGCGCAGCGCTCAGGATGGTGCAAATGCTGCAGCTCTCATATCGGCCTTTTCCGCCGCAGGTCGTGTGGTAAGTGCTGGTTTTAGGCGTGGAGAATACCTGCTTCGATTTCCACGTGAGGATCACTGGGCGCTTATTATCATACAGCTTGTCGGTATAGTCGGCGATCGGCTGGGACATTTGCCCGTGCTTTCCTTGTGTCAATGCATGGGTGGTATTGCGCAAATGGCAATATGGCCTTTCGCTGGCAGTCTCTCGGGTTTAATGGCCTTCTCGTCTATCTATGGATTTTTCACTGGCGGTTATGTTAGTTTGTATCCAGTTGGTATGTTGTTCGCTCGAAAGCCATCAATTCGCTGCGCTAATCGCTGACGAACCAGTTGCTGCTGATCTGTACGGCGTTGAAGGCCTGGCAAGCATCACTGGAATCATGTTTTCCAGTTTTGTGGTGTGTAATATCACGATTTCAAAGAGTTTGATATTCTGATAAACCTCCTCGCTAGCCGGGAACGCTTCTTGGTCCTCCTATTTCAGGAGCTATTCTTGATTCACACACCAATCCCCTCACTGGCAAGATCAATTTTCTCCCCGTACAGCTCTTCGGCGGTAGTTGGCTACTGGGGTCGGCTTCCATGGCCGTCATGGTCCAGATATTCCATGCCAAGGAAGGTTCAATTGCGTTGGCATGATGCAACTTTGGGGAGCGGGGTGGGTTCTTTTGATATCTTCATCGTGAAGACTCAAACTTGTAACTCCCGCCGTTCTTCATTGATTCAACATTCCTTGGAATCCTGTGGATTTCACAACTGAAGGGCATGAGACTATATGCTGGGTAGGTGATCCTACAATCATTCACCCTCCAAGATCTCGATCTCAGAAGCCGATCGAGTATAAACGATCGAGTCGCCAATCTGCCCGACACTCGCGGTCTCTCGAACCAAAAAGTTACCAGGTTTGGATGGTCTGCCCAATACTCAAAAACCGTGAACATTTGATCAAAAATACAAAACAGGAGCTGCATATCACCGGAGTCATTCACACAGACCAGGAGCATTCTTGGTCATGAGATAAACATTAAGATCAGACCTTCTGGTGTACACTTGAGTGATCATTCACTTCAAGTTCTATGTTTCCTCCAGTCAGTAAATTCTAAGGTGTGTATGAGAGTAATCAACTAACCATGTTCTTGCTTGATGATGTTCTTATCTCGCTCTTCCTTACTGATAGCACCGAAAATAACATCCATGTCTTCAAGGCTACGGCCCTTCGTTTCTGGGATTAGACTTTTTGATGACGGTCAGCACCGAGGTTGAGACATGCATGCAGCGATAATACACACATTGCAAATAGGCCCATTGCACCGACGTTTACGGTAGCAAACATTACGAAAAGCTTCCAACCTAGATTGGTGACCATATCTGGAGTGACCTTGGATACGACAAAATCTGTTTTCCGATCAGTGAAGTGCGAACATAAAGGTGACACAAGAGACCTACTCCACAGCCACTGAGAAGCACTTGCTAATGCCAAACCGTAATGCCTTGTCCTTGTTGGAAAGATATCTGATACATAAACCCACGGTAATGGTCCCCATCCCATCGAGTAGAAGCAGACGTATATGTACAGCATAGCCGCCATGGCTTGGCTGGCTGGTTCGGGGGATACTACCGAGGTATCGGAGGAACTAGTCGCGGGTGGTGGGTGTGTTTTTAGAAGTGCCCCAACGATATAGAACAAGATACCCATTCCAAACGCGGAAATGGTTAAGGACAGTTTTCGTCCAAGCCATTCAACGCCGAAGAAGACGAATAAGGATGTAGATACCAATTTAACAACGCCGTAGATTCCCGATGCTAAAAGGGAGTTTTTGGTACCAGTATAGCCGATGGATGCGAAAATCTGGGGAGCATAGTAGTTCACAGCTGTAATCGTAGGATAAGTACCAGCTGAAGAAAAGGAAGAAAAATGGAACCACACAATTTTGACCCGACCATTGCTGCAAGAGAAAAATGACGAAGGCGATCACGAATCGAATGAAGTTGCCTTTTCCGAAAAAGGCTTCCTTCCAATGCAGACCTTCGCGAGCTAAGCGCTCTTCCTCAACAACGGCTTCTATCTCGGCCATCTCGTGCAGCACTTGTTCAGAAGTGGGTGGAAGCCGTCGCAGATATGCGAGGTTCTTGAGGGCGTCATCTTTTCGGTTAACTGACGCAAGCCAACGAGGCGATTCCTGGGATTTTCTTCGTTCAGATCGGTATCTAATACAAACGCATGTGAACGAGCACACCTTGATGGTCAACAATCCAAAGGTCATGATACCAGCCGGTACAAGCTGGAACCCGAATGGGATCCTCCATACATCAGTGCCGCCGGCAATATGAATACCAATACCATCTTCGGATGTATCATTGTTAGTTAAAGCGAGTGGTGGATAGCTTGAATACACGTACAGTTAATGAAGTAGGACAGCATGACTCCAGTGGCCACCATGATCTGGAACATCCCTGTGATCCGTCCTCGGACTTCTTTGGGGGAACACTCGGAGACATAGGCTGGAGCTATAGCCGAAATCCCACCTATTCCAACACCAGAGATGACTCGCCCTCCATAGATAAGCTTAAGACCATTTGAAGGGGACTCGGCTATGGTCGTTAGAATCTAAGCGCTGTATCTGAGGATAGAACAAAGATGCAACAAGAACCTGACGTACCGCACCGATACAAAAGAAGAGAGAATATACGAGTAAAGTGTATCTTCTCCCGAGCTTGGCTGATATAGAATGAACTTTTCGGATAAAAGAAGCGTCGGATACAGACTCACGAGATATCGGCACGCTACCCAAGGCGCCAAAGAAAGCACCAGCCTGGAGAACGGACACAACATTTGATGATATGTTGTTTACTTTATGGGTGTCCTGCGTTCCATCGGCGTTGTACATTCCGAAATGTTGCTGGAAGTACGGGTTATTAACAACACCGCCGCCGACACCACTGACAGTCAAACACCGCATAAACACCACAGCTCGAAATGAGATATTCAAGAATATCCACGCACGTATCATAACCGAATAACACGATCCCCCAGTACACGACGAACGCGAGCCCTACAGCACACCGTGAGGATAAAAACAGAAAAGATAGGTTAAAAACTGACAATAAACCCGGATATTCTGGAATCTGCCTCCCTCCATGGTGCGATACGTATGTGATGGGAAGAAAGCACAAACATGTGTACAGCAGTCACGACTTTTTATACTTCCCCACCTGACCAACCCGCTTTGCTCTGCGCGAGGAGCGGATGTGGGGAATGGACGGCCCGACGGTCCGAGTTTACCCCACAACGCGCGACTGTCGTCTGTCGTCCCGTTTGTCTCCTCGTCAGTCCACGTTCAAGCATCAGCGACCGTAGATAAAAGAACAGGGCATTTTTGAAGAGCAGGAGACTGGAATGCTGAATTTGTGTACATAAAAAAGCCAAGAGAATGGAGTGCAGTGGGAAATCCAGCGAGTATTTACCGATGGCGGGGAATTGTGCCTGATTGAACAGTGTCCATGCGGGGCATCCTTGAGATCGGCTAATGTGTGCGACGAAGCGTGGAATCCAAGAGTCACCCTGAGGTCCTACAAGGTTCTAGTGCGTGAATCGCTCGTCTCTGTTAAGTTTTGTGGCCAGAAACATGCTCTATCGGAAGGAAGTGCTAGACGTCTGTCTCGAGAGGTAACAGATATTCCGGGGACCGCGTATGGAAGAAGTTAGTATCTAGTTGCATTCACGAAACGTCGGAAATGTACCGTTGGAGATCGACAGAAGATGGTAGTCTCAGCTGACCAGGCCCATAATTTATATGTGCCTTCCCGCTATACGTTCCTGTGGTATACACTGCATCAGTAGACACGAGACCACGATAATTGAAAGAATCTGGAAGAGTGCCAAAAGGGTTTTGAGAAGCGGTAGTATTAAATTCCTGCGCTAGTCTGGACACGCAGGCCTCGGGTCTTGCACATGCGGTAGACAGGGATAATTTGGCACAATCAGTGTCACCTCGTCGGTTGTCCTTTGGACATAGTATGAGTCTTGGACCATTGTGGCGATCTTCATCAAGTCCATCCGTGTCGACAGATATTCTCCTACATTTACGACATGCTGAGAATGTAGCTGCGTAAGGGTCCCATGTCAACCTTCGGGAGATATGCTGGATTTCAACGCTTTCTGATGTTGATGAGATGTATCGCGTTCAGGGAATAACTCAAGTCAGGAACGAGAGAAGACACTCCGAGCCCTGAATACGCAGCATAACAAGTAGCCTCTTTACCTCCCCATTTTCCAGTGGTATCGCAATGAACGAGTCGAAGCAACTTGGAATTCGCGCCTCGATTCGTTAAGACTGCAATATGCAGCCTGATATTTGACCATACATAAGAATGATTACTTGTACCATGCCCCAAGGGCTCGACAGACAGTCAGCTTCTTGATGGGAACATTAGTTTTCCATTTGTGCTTACCATTGTAGACACGGAAAACCCAAAGACTCCGCAAATTATGCCGCTGTCTGAACAATAGACAGAATTAAAAGGCACAGGCTAGACATTGTCTCTTCGAAACCCACCGAAAGACACCGAATAGACCCAATAGACGTCTAGGACTGTCTAAACGCCCAGATTACGACACAGACACGGAGCAATCGATATCCGTTGTTACCTAGTGTTGAACGTTCGACGCCATGCGTAGACTGTCGGCGTCAGCTCGCCGAGTTCGTGAAAGAAAGAATCTCGGGCCAGACAAAAAAAAAAGGTCACGTCCCAGCCTGAGAGTCTTGTACCTGGTGACAAGAGATGTTCGAGATATGCGAATGCGCAGCATGGTCGCCGATTTATTCCCAAGGAGCCCACTAAGAATCATAAATAGAACTTATCGCCTGAGATAACACGCCTCCGCCCTTCGGGGCCGCACCACCGCGAGATGGTTGAAGCTGTTTTTATATTTAGAGCTCGAGAAAATAAGTTTCACAGACCGTGGAGCCGCATAAACGTTCAAACTTCGAAGTCTCTGCGCCTGAAGAACAAGAAGCTGAGACAACAAGCATCCGTAGCCTGTCGGGCGAACACACAGGAACGGAATTTGAAGTTTTCGCAAACCATGAAGCTGACTTGTACCATAGCCTGACAGACCTCTTGAGACGTTAGAGTACTCTGATTCCGGGTGTTCGCGACTAAGGAGATGAGCTCGAGTGGGGGAATATCTAGCATGTGGAACATTTACCTGCAACTTGCTCGAGACATAACTTTTCGTCCAGCTCCCCAGTTCCTATTGATAGGTTCCAGAGCTATTGTCTGCGGGAACAACGCGACACCGCCAAGCGAGATGGTCGTTGTTTCTTAAGGAAGTGAGGAAGAAAGTAAAAGGTTGAGGCTCTGATGGGAACCTCATTTTATATACATAACATTGCAATTACTCTAAGCATTAATGGGGTAGTGGTAACCTGGGTCGTTGCCATCGACCCGCCGGGGGTTCGATTCCCCCTTAATGCAGAGCACTGTCCTCGATTTTTGTTCTTCCCTCTCATGATATTCAGGATATCTTAGAGTGCTCAGTGTAGTCAGGGGTGACTGTAGTGCCGTCAGTACATTTTCTTACCTGACAAAACAGTCCCTTCAGCAAGGAGGGTGACTTACCGGTAATAAGCCGTGGCGGGTAACGATGTATCAAAAGCTAGCTTTCGTGCACTACCTTACACTGAAACCCCAGGAGTCAAAGGCCGACTGAAGCTCAGACTCAGCCCCAGGCAGCCGCAGGAACTTCACTTTCAGAATTCTGAACCTCAAGTTCGAGTTTGAATATGACATCTCATGAAATCTCAATGTTTAATATTGAAAGGAATCCTGTGGTTTCTTCTCCAAAAATGTACTTAAACTGAAATTCCGTTGCCAGTTCAGACCGAAGACCTAATGCACCGCGTATTGTCTCATGTAGTCCCGTAAAGATGCGTAATAAACACAGTTTTATTAATAAGGTGCGAGATAAAGCCTAGTTTGACGCCTTGGTCCCCTCGCGTTGCTGGCCTCACTGGTTTTACTGTACGTTAATCTGAGCACACCACAGTGCAATATCCATTGGTTTGTAGCGCATAATCATACATGCCTATATCATGATCCAGCTGTTGCTTAAATCTAGCCCTTCCACCAATTATCGACCTCAACGCTCGTATTAATACCCATCGTGATGAACCCCGCAAGACCCTGGTTGATAACCCCACCCAGGAGATGCAATCTATTTAAAGAAAAACACGCGCGCCGTTAGTACACTATAATAGAAAAGAAGCCAGCGCGACGGGATCGCACACCCAGAGCAGGTGACCGCAAAAATGATACACATACTTGAACACGGGATCATATTTCCCCTCCGGACCTTGAGAGTCTTCAAAGATATTCAGCGAGTCGCGCCAGTTCCGCGTGCGGCCGATAGTGTCTTTGATGGGGTTTGTAGTGTAAGGGTGCATCTGGGGGGGAATTGAGGTGAGATGAGGTGGAAATACGTGGGTCGGGATACGTACCTTGTCAACTTGAAGGTTTACCTCGTCGTCAAAGAAGAACTGCCCGACATGGGAGAGCTTGCCCCCTTCGAACGTGCCGTTCGGGAGGGTTGTCCATGATTGGAAGACCTTGGTGTGGACGTGTGTCGCGCGACCTGTACAGAAAGATTGATAATGTGATGTATCGCGAAATGGGGGTTGCGTGCCTGTGTAGTAACCCGGGAAGATAGCTACGTGAAGATGGCGTTAGAGTGAAACCGAAAGGACTAGGAGGAAAGGTACTCGTGAACTGTGCAACTCCATTCTCATTAGTCGGCCAAGCGCCCCGTAGAAATGTCTCATGATCATTTGTTCTGGGGAAAGCACTGAGGAGACCACTTCGTTTCCCACCGACCTGGGGTTTCTCGTTAACGAGCTCAGGTTTCGGTGTGGGGTGTCCTGCGTAGTGTCCAGTAGCATTTGCTTGCCATATGTCGATGAGAACGTTGGGGAGTGGTTGACATGTTTCTACGTCGATGACTCCGATGTCAAGGAGTAGAAGAAGGCCGGCCTGGTATTCAGCGATGTTTTGGCGTATGGGGTGACCGACAAGGTGATAGTAAGGACCTTCCGTTACGATGGGGGCTACCGGATACGACGTTCAAGAGATATCAAGAGATAAGGAACGGGCTCGACGCACTCAACACGCAGGAGTTGTTCTCCATCTTGGCCTCTTCAGTTACCGGCGTGCAGCTCATGAGCTCCTGGCCCTCCTCGCCTGGAACGGCTTTCTCTCCATCGATAGCGTCATTGTACGAAGTAAATAGATCCTGGTAGGCGGGTAGCGATGGGTTACCGGCAAGGACCTTTTGAGCCCAAGCCCGTTTGCGCTGAGCGGTGAACTGAGCTACGGCTGGTGCACAGTGGTACGCTGCCTGCTGCAGGGAACGCTGGACCTCTATTTCTGCATCTGTTTTAGGATTTGAGTGGGCGAGAGCAGCTGGCAGCAGTGCAAAGAAAAGGAAGAAGAAGGAGGAAGGAAGGAGGATCATCGCGGGGGATTCGGTGTGGCGATCGTGATTTGATGCCTTATATAGCCGGAGAGTAGTTTCTCCGCTTCTATATTTGATTTTTAATTATTTTCCGCTGATATACATAATCAGTCCCCACAAACTCCTACCCCATATCATGGACATCCACATTCTTTCCGGCTCCTTCACCTCGTTCTCTCTTTTCCTCCTCGCCTTCTCGCCACTCAACCGCTCTCTCCGGCTTCTCCGCACCGTACCCGCCATCGGCCCGCACCAGTACATTACACAGACCCCTCAGGCCGTGTACGCGACGACATGGGCTTCTCCACCGGCCCTGCATGCGTGGTCCCTTCCTTCGCTAGCTCACATCGGCAGTACTCCCATAACGGCAACATCGTCTTATATCACGATACTTGACTCTCACGCCTACTCAATGGGTGGTCCCACAGGAGAGATTCACACTCTTGACCCTGCAACCGGAGCATGGAAAAAGAAAATACAAGAGATTCTATTTGTCGAATCAGGAAAACTGGATGATGCTGATAAGACAAGGAAAGCGCTGAGATACGGTTCCCATGCGATAGAGTTCACGGCAGACGGAAACTATGGTTTTGTTCCGGTCCTCGGGACGGAAGAGATCCACGTCTTCAAGAGAGGTAACAACGGGACGCTCGAACGCGTAGCGAAAGCCAAAGGTCATGCAGGAGACGGTCCACGACACGTCAAAGTGCATCCAAACGGAGAGGTTGTTTACTGCGTAACTGAACATAGTACGTTTTCCTTGCCTTTATCGAAAATTCGGACTCATGCTTGTGATTTTTGCAGGCAACAGACTAGATGTATACACCTTCAATACAGCACCTACACCATCTCTCAAGCTCGTCTCTTCGCAGCCCCTCTACGCTTCCGGTTCAGCCCATTCCTACAGGGGTGACACACTACTACTCGCGCCTTCAACTAACCAAATATTCGCGACCACTCGTGGAGCAACGCACCTCGACCGAGGATACATTTCTGTCTTTTCTCTCTCATCCGGTCTGCTTAGCGGCCAGGCCGAGTACTACGAGACCCCGACCTCAGGAGGGAAAGCCCACGCTATCGACTTGCTCCCAAAAGCTTCTGACTCGTCGTCTACCACCTTGACCACGGACCAGGAATCTCTCTCTGTTCCAGCCGAGTCCGTATGGATAGTCCTAACAGACGACGACCCATGCACGCAGACGCCTGAACCCTGTGCGAGTGTACGCATACTCGAATGGGACGGCTGGGATACAGGTGGGATACGTGAAGTCGCGGCGTACACTGGGACGGAGATGCAAGGTGGGAGCCACGCGATCTTCTTAAACGCGCATGCAGATACCGAGGAAGTGGTGCGGCATGATGAGCTATAGAACGGCCAATGGCGTCGCGTATACGTTGCTTAGACCAATCACGCTATTTCAATTTCGAACTTGGCGGAAGTCAGATAATCCTCTCGTATGCATATGGGCCGAGTGGAATGATACCTCCTTCTGTGACTAGACTGGATTAGACTATACTTACTTATTTTATTGCTTATAAGGAGCAGTTTCAAACTCATTTCGATGGTTGTGTTGAAGATTCGAGCTTGGCGCTTCTACGTAGCTTCGTCGAGTCTCGAGGATCTTCTCTGATCACTCTTTTTCCAAAAGCAAAAAAAAAGCCCCATACAAAGACATAAAATCTCCCGTGTTTGGACTCGAACCCAGGTGCACCGACCATACTAATACACCATCAGAGGGTTGTTATTCATGTTCGTTAATATCACTTGAGTAACAGCCAGACTTGGACGTATGCTTGAATATCTGAACCTCCAAGGCAGTCGATTTTGAGCCCAGCGTATTGAAAGAATAAACGGCGCGTCATTTGATGAGCATTTATAAGAGAGAAAAAAAACACAACATACGTCCTCTCGGCTGCCAGGAGGGCGTATGTTGCGATCTCCCTCGTTGGGAATCGAACCCAACACGGGGAAACAACGTAGACGCTTCCCCGGTATGCCATCAGAGAGTTGTTAGGACCGTAACAGGTCTTTCTATGAGCTGGCCGTCGTTTATGTAAACGATCGAGGAGAGTGCGCTGCCGCTGCTCCGAAGAAATTGCGCTAATTCTCTAGGGGAGCCGCAAGAGCCAAAAAAGCGTACATACTAGAGTTGAAGAGGGACGAGAAAGGACGTGGATAGCGACGATCTGGAAGGTGCAGACTGACATATAGATGAACTGTTTGGAACTGGATGCGACATGAAAAGAAAAGTAAAACTTACCGTCCAAGGATCAAGGCATCGAATCTAGGAGATGAAAGCAAAAAAATCTCGCAACGCACACCCTCCCATCCTTAGGAGGGCGCGCGCTCCGGTCTCTCTGGCAGGGAGTCGAACCCAGCCTTTGAAGCCCGCACTTCGCCGATATGCCAACAGAGAGCTGAATATAGGCCGCGTTGCGGGTCCCATATCGCCGTGGCGATTCTTTTAGGTAAATGGGTCTGCGACTGCGAAGTACATGGCGCCTCGGGACTTGTGGGTAGCATATATCTCGAGTCGATGTCCTCAAGCTACAGCCGCCTTCAGCCCTAGTTTTTAATAAAACGACGCGAAGACAAAGAATGCTTGAAAGGCTCTATATAGCTATGGCTAGAGGCCGAAGCCGCGAGAAAGAACAACTAAGCGAGAACTTGTCTGAAGTTACGGGATAGCTAGTGTCCCAAAGACAAGATCTTGAAGCAAGAGGCTTCACAACATATGCCATCGAGGAAGTCCCGCAAGGAATCGAACCCTGCGACGGGAAGCGACGAAGCCGCTTCTCCGATAGGCCATCAGAGAGTCAATGAGAGTTTCTAGATCGCTTCACAGTCAGCCTATTATGTATGTAGGGAGACCCCTTCGAAGAAGAGAGAGTATGCAAATAGGGGATACGCCCGTTCTTTCACTTCGTGGATGGTGACTAGTTGACAGGCCATCTCTCAACCTTGATCAATCCTCCTCGCCCACACCATTCGAGGCCAGACGAAGGTCGATACTACGTTTGAGAACATAGGAACATCTACGAGGTTGGGGCCAAGGTCATGGTTTTCTGGTGGATCATGAGATATACCTTTTCATGCAGCGCTATATAGGTAAGCGAGTTGCATGGGTGTCAGGCAGCGATCCTAGAGAAAGCCGAAGAGGGACTACAGGTTGTGACTCTCAGCAAGAAATTCATTTTCTAAATATTGGAGGAAACATCAAAGGAAAACGGAAGAAAAACGAATTCGACACACGGTACAAGCCTTGTTGTTTGGAATATGTCTATGCTGCAGGTACTTTAGTACTTGGTGGCAGGATCGCAAAAGAATAGAAGAGAGACTAAACGAGAGGGACATACCGGCGAACGGTCCGAAGGCCGAGAGGTCGACCGTGGGAACATCTCCTGGCTTCCTCCGAGGTCTCACTCAACACGATGATGCTGCCATAAGTGCCGAAATTTCATCTTATTCACTCTTTGTTGTGTTTTCAGTTCCATAAACGATTATCATAATGTTCAGGCTCTATGTCATGAAAAGAAGAGAAAGACGAAGGAGTGGTCAGTGTAGGGCTATCAGTCAGACATAAGCTCGTCTCAGACCTCGCGGCCAACCTTTCTTTGTCTCTCACCTTGACGTGCACTTGCAACCCTTGATTCCCAAAAACCTAGAACGGTAATGTACAACAATCTCAATGATGAAGAAGGACACTAATAAAACTTCAAACACTAGTTCTCCCGCCCCTGGTTCACTCAGAATCTTTTTTCGCCCTTCGTTTAGTACGAGAATGACCATGCACGGAATTAAATTTTTGGTCAATTTAGAAGATGATTTTGAGAGATATTTACGTCCTGGACAATCGGTCTTCATGACAGTACCATCGGACGCTACCATTGCGGACTTGCAAAAAACAATTATGAATGCGGTCAAACTACCTGACTACCCGCTCATCTCGCTGGATGCCAACCTCCCAAGCACGGGCCATGTCTACGCAACTCCAGACGTAGCGCTGGCTTCGGAAGTGCCGCAGAGAAATGACGGCCTACGTGTTGTGTATGCCTATCCTCGGCGATATAATCAAGTGATTCCTTTGAAAGGTCGGCGCGAATTTTGCCCTTGCAAACCTGCGTAGTGATAACTGTTGCTTTCGTAGACGTTTTCTGCAAGCGGGAGGATACGATCCGTGCACTTTATAATCAAATATTGTGGTGGGGACGAAGTCCCTTTATCGTACACACTTTAATTCTCTCAAAGTGTTCCGTCTGTTTGACTGGCAGGCTTAGGTGCGCGGCCCTCCGGGTAGTGGAAAATCCACGCTGCTGGATCTTTTATCCAACTATATAATACAGCAAGAACCAAACGCCAATGTCTTTTATGTGCCGAAATGGACAGCGGGCGATAATCCAGGGTACTTAGCTTTCAAGGAAAGATTCTTCCGAATAGCCTCGGTAAGGCCTATTGTTCACACACGCTTCTAGGTATTGACTGTCAGTTGTTAAGGTTTCCATAGAGTTCATTGAAGCCGGTGAGCGTCCGGCGTGGCTATTGATGGACGATATGCAAGATTCGTATGATGACAGGCAACTCTAGAACTGGATCAAGGACGCACGTCTAGTAAGAGACATCCGGATCATCATATTCTGCCGCTATGGCGCTGTCTTTGGACTATACGATGACCCCACTGCCAGACTGGGCCCCTCATATAGGATATATATTGACAAGCACTCTCACATGGGTTTATGGCCAACAGACCATTCTCCCGTTGGACTTCATTTCACTCAAACAGAATTCTCTGAATATGTACGACAACGGTCCGACTGTTGCATCGATGAGGAACTGGAGCGATGCTTCTTTTTGTGGACCAGTGGTCACATTGGTGCGATTACTGCTCTCTACGGGATTTTGCAAACGGCGGTCAGCTGTCCATTGAATGATGAAGTCGAATGCAGATATGCTAATCCTTGAACACTGAATTCCAGAATATACTGGCTCAACCTCGCAGCAACAAGTTTTCCCTCGCCAACTTTGAAGCTGCAGCGCCAAGCCTCGAGAAGTTCGTTCACGAGCTCGGAGGAGCTTGTGAGCTCAAAAAGGCACTTCCTCCTCAACCACTGTTTACGGATGTCGGGCGCCCAAGTTTTGCGGCATTTTTCCGTCGGTTGCTAAAACATGGCTCTCTGTTTTGCACTGAAAGAAGAACCTTGGATGTCCAATACGACGACCTGGATCAATGGGTCTTCCTTGATGACCCGATTCTTGGTGATACTTGCCTTACAGCCATCCGCCAAGACTGGGTATTCACCTCTGCATGCGGAAATTTTCCCAACACTGTGATTATTTCCCTTTCCACTCCTCTTCTTCAATGCTGGTTTTCGTATCACCTCATTCCTTCTGAACTGAAGTCATCTTTCGAGAGTCCTTTCGATCTTGTCTGTCAAGCCACGGCGCTTTTCTGTCCCTCCTTACTTCGCGATCCGCCAGTTCGCTTCGGTACCCCGCATGAAAGTCGCTATCATATGGAGTTTTACAGAGCTGCGTCAGCTTTGACGGGTGGTGCTATCGTTTCGTCTCCAGATTTTGGGACCAACCCAAATCGTGAAAGTCAAGGCCGGATTGATTTTCTCTTGGCGCATAAGAAATGGGGAATTGAGCTTACTAGGGATGGGAATCGTTTGGATGGCGGAGGTGATCCGCGGTTCCAAAAATACGGGCAATGGCGTGAGGAAGGGGATATGACGCAGTATATCTTTGTGGACTATCGGGTGACACAGCCGGCGCAATCACATCCAGGTACGGTATTTTGTTGACTCTCATTGCAAATGAGCTTACACGTCTTTTTTCTACCAGACATTCCGCATCTATATCATGTTGTTTTCGACAACGAGTTCAACGACTATGTTATCCTCAAAGGAAGCGATCTGTCAATCATCTGCCATGGTAGTTTTCCGAAAGTGTAAGGCTAGCGCTCAGAGCAAATTTCGATCAGTACTATGTTTGTTTCTTACGAGAAGATTGATAGCGTTCCTTGCACAATGACATCGTTTCATGGGTGCTTGTGGTGCATAATTAGCGCTCAAAGCATAGGGTCAACTGTCTCTCGCAGTCAAGGATCTGCGTTAGGAAGTAAGCGCCGTACCATCCAAGATATAGACTCACGAAAATAGAATCATTTTAGTATATCCATGAGGGTAACAATGCTACACGTTTAGAGTTTACACTTCTTAGGTTGGAGATCGAACCCAATGGACGACTACGCACCGTCTTGCTGTACTTTTATACCACAACATCTTGGGATCGGATTCTTAATAGCAATATAGGGGAGCGACTTGTGTGGATGTCATGGCTATTGGCGGGTTACTCGTTTACAACCGCGGAGGCGGTTATCTGCTATTGATTCACCAATCTATCGTAGCTCAGCTTGGTCTTATCGATGCTCGTCGAGATTCGAACTCCAGACATTGTATTCCGACGCGGACCCGACAAAGGCTCTTATAAGATCGTAGGGTTCGGCTCTCAAGCTGCAATCTTTTACATCGACCAGGATGGTGACAACGACACCACTATGTATGTTGACATCACGGTTCGTAACTTCTGCATCCCGTATGAAAGAGCATTTTATGTCCGACGTGTGCGTCGTTGATCTAACTGGCGCGTTTCATTGACCTATTTCTAGGTGGTTTTTCTGCTCTTCTTAGTGTTCTTCCTCCTGTTAATCTTCGTCTTCATGTTCTTGGTCGCTTTATCATATATATGATATCTGATAGCGGCAGCCCGCATGCTTGATTCTGGGATTTTGGTGTCATATCATCATTTTCGACGATTGGTGCCGTGTACGGTCATTCAGAACATTGGACATTTCGGATTTATGACATATTCGTCTGTATCGTATGAGTGTATACATCTATGCTTCACTCTTTGCAATACAAGCACTACGGAACAAACCGTGCATAGGAATATCAGAAATGTGCACGAAATTCAGTAGTTCGATTGAACGTTGGCAAATAAACGTTGAACATCGAGTGCATGCTAGAGTCAAGGGCTCGGTCCTATTCTCCGGACAAAAAAATTAAATAAAAGAGATACATTTCCGATAAGGATCAAGTTTTACTCAGACGCGACGACGACGATTGCGATAATCCGTCGTATGAGGCATACAGTTAAGAGCATAACATACATATACCCAGGATCGTAGCACCAATCTCTGCTAGTGTTGCAAAAGTAGTTACCGGAGTGTAAGCAGTGGTCATCCTACGTAGTGCGTAAGGGCATGGAAACAAATAAGGCGAAGTAAAAGACAAACTTGCGACCGTGTGATGCTTTAATCGCAGTGACCTCGGCCTTCTTTTCAGAGATGTGCTTAGCAGTAAGGGCACTGAGGGAATGATTAGTCGACGAGAGAGCTGAAGTCAAAACAGAATACTCACTCGTGCTCAGGCTCCTGCTCCTTCTGGTGGTCTGGCATTTCTGCGCCTGACGGAATGAGGGTGACGATAGTGCTAGAGAAAGATAGGAGTAACAAGACGTTGGATCTTCGGTGTCTTGATGTAAGGCTTCGCGTTCTCCTTCTGAGCGCTCTTCACTTCCCAAGACAACGTACTTGCGGACATCATCTTCCTTGGACTGTTGAACATCTTGCTAATATAAGTAGAAAGATGAAGGGAAAAGTATACACACCAGCCTCTCTTAGCTTCACAATGACCAGGTGGTAGCTCATCGAAGTTCTCTTTGAATAATTGGTAATAACATGGCGATCTATGCATCCACGGGTAGGCTTTTGCTTCCTCTCACCCGTCCGGCAAGTGCGATAGCATGGCTGACCATCGGAAAATAAGAGACTGACACGGTAGGGAGAAGCATTCAATGTTCATCGAGAAATCCTGCTTGTTGTTTTCTCTAGTAATCTGGAAGATGTATCCCTTGAGCTGGTCAGGAACGCTTCGACCCAAGGTATTGACATAGATATGCTTGATTTTAAAATGAGCAGTCCGACAGCTGAGTATCAGGAAGAAAGAAGGTGGTGGTTCGCTGGAGAGGTTGTGCGGGACCGGATAGCTCCGGCCTTCCTCCTCCTTTCGACGTGCTTGTCTCGTTGCTTTTTGCTTTCTCCGGCATTCCGTTTCCTCAGCTCTCACATTGTGCTATATAGCTACACTGAATGAAACTTATGGATACTGCTCTGATAACGACACTGTGCCTTTAATAACATGCTTGTAGCGAATCCTTTATGCCCCCGCAGAGCAAAGATCCCGTTCTCGCCGTACTTCAGACTGGTCGTTGATGCAATGTCCCCGGACTTCCTGGTAATGAGCCTATATGACAACTATACGGTACGCGTTATCGGAAATCTTGACAACGCCAGGAACTCAAGCTCACCAGTGCTCGCCCCGCGTTTCAGCGAGCTCATGGTCGCCCGCCCTGGGCTCTGGAAATATCGAGGTTTATGTTGCACGATGCGATGGACGACTTCAAAAGTCACGATCTTTAGTCCCCTCTCGTTCAGCAGACCAGTGGTGGCATATTACTATCAGCATGCAGGGACTGTCCTCGCCATAGAGTCAACGGAACGAACCGGTGTTTCAACATCGTGCCTTACGCTTTGTACGGCTTCCGCGAATCCGCATTACATCTGTCGGTTAGACGTTTCCCGCCTTTACTCTCTATCAACGACCTTGGAAAAATGCCTGCGGAATAATGTAGAAACTGACTCTCGTCGCCAAGTTGGACTCCTCTCTTTACTTCGACTACGTGCAACCTTCTTTTTGAGATGTGTTGCTTAGATGCACGTCTGGGCAAAGACAAAGGGGCAAATTCTGCAGCTGCGAGATTTGGCTGGGAAAGCGATGTAGTAAAGGTGAGTACAATTCACGATGACCGTGTACCTGACAATTGATCCAGATACCGATAATATCTCAGTGCTATCCTTAACATGACTCGGACACCTCTCTCTTCTTGAATGAGGTATGTAGCTTCTTCTTTGTCCTAAAAATGCGCGAGACGAATTTTTTTTTGCAGTGATGACCAACTAACGTCCTCTAAGCACTGTGGCATAGCATCATGCTTCGTCTTCATAGCACCTTGTCTGCGTAGTAATCGAACAACGACGACGGACTCCTTTCTTGTAATCGTCTATGTTTACACCACAAAATCGAATTCCTTGACTGGCATCTGTCCAATCTCGACTGGTAACACGATGCGTTATTCAGATGATCAAGCTGGATTACCTGGCATTGCAGCTTACTCAAGTCACTCACAAAACTCAATAACAGCCATGGGAGATCGTGGGCAGAGACACGTTGACTGTGGGAAGAGAATTCCCATTTTGCTGGTGATAACGATCCCCCGATAGCCTGCACCCATCAATTAGCGCCTGCAGCCGACGACGAATGCCTCCTCTCCCCTCAAGTCCTCTCAGATACTTCCCCACTGACCATACATGGAACTCCTCGATGCCCCTCGACTTGACCTTGCTTGCGACCATTTCGAACGGGTAAGTGTGCATCTTGGTTGATATCTAATCGGGCATTAATCATCAGTTTCCATATCCATAGACTTGGGCCTTGATGCTTTACCTTCGAACTGCGGTGTTTAACGTTCGCGAGGAAAATTAAATAAAAGGCACTGCCCCCAACAGCAGACCACCTGGGATAACCGGAGTCTGTAGAGTCCGGGGTGAGAATTCTTGTATCCTTGTCCGGTGCTGCGTTCTGGTTGAGTGGGTGCTGCAGTTCCCTTCATCTTGCTATTTCTTTGATTTTTTTTGTTTTTGTTTTTTTTCGAAACTACATCTACGGAGCATCGATTCATGATTATGGCATGTGGTGTTCTTCTCGGCAGTAACACGGTGGCTGTCACAGCACGCAGTACAGCATCTTTTCGGATCGAAGCGGTTGGAATGCTGTAAGACACGTGTCCACTGCGTGGTATACGTGGTATATATACAGCGCCTTCTCTTCCACTGTACCACCATCGTCGAGTGTGTGGGCTTTGAGATGAATAAACGGTGAGCCCCCTTCACGACTCTTAGATTTGTTTTCGCTCATAAATAATGGTAGATATCACTTTCGACGGATCAAAGGTACAGTCACTTCCACTTTCACGTTCGCTGTCTTTTCGTTAAGTGGCCCTTATGACCTAGCTATCGAACTACTCAACCTACCTCCGGAGTGGGATAAACGATCGTATTATCTCAAGATTTTTGCCGGAGAGGACGGCAAAAAGACGAATACATTCAAGGTGAAGAAGAAAGAGCATGGAACAACCCCGACACCCAAATGAACGATCGATCTCGGTTTGTAAGGGCGCCGACATATCACTTGAATCATAGCTCATTGCATATCCAGGAGCCATATCAATGAATCTGAAAGATTTCAGGTAGAAGTATACTGCCATCGGGGCAAGGGAGAGTATCCATGCCTTGGCTTGTTTGGATCATCGGTCCGGGATGTTTTAATCGGTGAAACCGAAAGTGAGTATCTGTAATCTGCACTGTCAATGTCTAAAAATTTGTGCCAGTTATTGTCATGTCCATTAATAACAATTCTTCCTGTCCCAACGTCGCTTTGAAGATCATCCGGGAAGGTGCCGCAACCCAGAGCGGTTTTCCCGGAAGTCAGCAAACCTCATACTTGTCGGGTTCCCAACTCGTGGCAACCTCTGCAATGTCGGTGGAAGATCATTGTGCAACTGCAGGAAAAGTCATCGAGGAAACTGCAAAGCCTATAGAGCCCTCTGAATGGATTTCCAAATTGATCGATGGTGTGGATACTGTGAAGAGTGTGATTGATGCTTTAAAAGATGTGGGCAGGCTCCTTCCGTGGTCAAATTCTAGGTTCTAATTGATTTCTGTCAGCTACATCCTGCTGCCTCGATTGCATGTGGCATCGTTCTTTCTTGCATTAATGTAAGTACCGGCCTTGTTAGGAGCAGGAAGACTAGCTGACATGCCTTTTCGGATAGGTCTTGAAACAACAGACAGAACGAGATCAAACTGTACTTCAGCTGTATGATGCTATGATCACGACTTATACGGAGGCAAGCGACGACCGCATGCTGTGGCAGCAAAAGCAGTTGAAGCCGATCTATATATCGCTGTTCCAGATCACGAACGAGTGCGGGATGTTCATCAAGAGATATATGAACAAAAACCGTTTCAGTGTGTCCACCATCCATTTTCGAAGGGGTAGTACCTAAGGCCGACTTTAGAATGCCTCTTCTCCTTGAACGTGTCACAGACAGCAAAAGAATTCATTAAAGGGCTTGCGAATTTGCGGGAACAGTTGAATTTGGGTGTAGCAAAGGACGTGCTTGCCGTGACATTGGGTGTCAGAGTTTGTGTTGGTATATATGGTACATCTCTTCGATTTTCTCACACACATATTCTAACCCGATCTGAGTAGGTGTGCAAATGTTGCTTCAAGCACTTAAGCCGAAGCAAGAGCTGGGTCCCAAATCAACATGTATGCCTGGGACACATGTGGAAACGGTCAATGCCTTGATTTCATGGATTGCGGAAGGTAACGACAGCATCCTTTGGTGTAGTGGTCTGGCGGGGACGGGCAAAAGCTCACTTGTCAGCACCCTCTGTTAGGATCGTGCCAATAGGATTGTGGCAGTAAGTGCACGTAGCGGAATGCCGCGGGATGCGTCGGGCGTAGGTGAAGCTATTAGCAACGTCACCCCTGAGCCGAAGCCCTAAGATGGATACGGATGGAAGTCCGTGGAGTGGCAGAGACGAGGTAAAAGATAAGTCCAACAGATCGGAGTTCCGCGGACTGGAGAACGAGAGTTAGACTTAGAGTCAGAGAGAGAGAGATTGGGCTGAACCAAGTTGATATTCGAACTGAGTATCTACAGTGTAATTCTAAGGCTTATATACTAGTTAGGAGTCCGATCTAGTTCCTACTCGGAGTGGTCTACATTCTAGGGTTGTCAGAGGATGTATTCTACCGGTTGGTAGCCGATGGGGTCCAATGACATGTTTGCTACCGATGTCAGGCTATTGATAAATTGTAATGGTGAAGTGAAATATAAAATGGAATATGAAATGGAATATGAAATAGAAACTGGTAATTGGGATCCGTAGGATTCCGGGCTGTGGTTTGTTGGATTGAGTGGAAGTCAGGTTTCTGTCGGCATGCTCGTTACAGTATCCCCCTCTTAGCGTTCTTGCCCTCAAGGATGCAGATCCCGATGGTTGGGTGTGACCGCATGGAATTTTTTCAGGTTGGTCACGTGGCTTTTCACCTCTTAGCTTTCTACCACCACCATCTCCTCTATTTTCTGAATTTTGTCCTCGTCGTTTGTCATGTCGTCAACCATCGAGTACCGTGTTTCCATGACGCCCGAACCGTACGAGCCTGCCCCAACGCCCGAAGATATTCGGCCTGAAGATCTGGAAGCCTTTTATGATGAGTGGGACGCCACAGAGAAGGCTAGGGAGGATGCTGCAGAGGCTCATGAGGCCTGGAAAGTGCAGAAACAAAAGGAGGAAAAGAGGTGGGCTCTGGAGTTGGAATGGCAAGAGAAAAAATTGGGGCAGGAGAGGAAGGTTGCAGAGGCCAAGGCAAGGAAGGAGAGGGAGGAGCAGGAGGCCGTGGAGAAGAAACAGCAAGAGAAGGCAGAGGCTAAGGCAAAGGCAGAGGCGGCCGCCGCGGAGCAGCAGAGGTTGGAAGAGGAGGCCAGGGCCTTGGAGGAAAGGAGGGCCGCAGAGAAGAAGTTGGAAGGTGAGGCCAAGGCCAAGGCTTTGGTGGAAGCTAGCAAGGCCGCGGAGGCGGAGAAGGAGAAGGAAGATGGGAATGAGGGGAGCAGGGTTGGTAGCGGGTCCGACGGAGATGACGAGTGGGAGAAGGCCCCGAAGGAGAAGGCGTTGAGAAAATTGGTAAAGCAGAGGAAGGATAGGAAGGGTAAGGGCAAGGCGACCGATTCGGAGGCTGCGGATGTTTCGAGGAAGTGTAAGATCAAGTCTAGTGTGGTGGTGGTCAGTGGAGAAGAGGAGGTCACGGGGCCGTCGGGAAGGCCTTTGAAGAAATTGAAGACTGAGCCTGAGATGCAGGCAGACGATGAAGAATATAAGGGTAATGGTAAGTGACTTCCATAGGGTCCCGTCGCTTATGCTGACTTGCTCTGTATAGAGCGTTGTGGATGTTGTAAGACAGACAACGTAAGATGTTTCATTTGCCGTGGGCGCACTTGTGAACGGTGCAAATTAAAGAAGAACAAGTGTGTGTTTCCACAAGGTGAAAGTTCGGGATCCGTGGGGTCCAGTGAGGTCATCGACCTCCTACAAAAACTTTGCGACAAGATGGACGATTTCCAGGAAGGCTTGGAAAGGGTAGAGGGAAAGGTGGATTTCCTCGGAAGCCGCATCGATGACTTGGTCGATGATTTTCATGAGGGTGACACTCCAGAATGGCCGTCAGATTTCGTCGAGGAGGAGTTTAGGGAGGAATGGGCGGCGTCTGAGGTCGAGCTAGGAAACCTCAAGAACGTGAACTCGGAGGCCCTACGGATCGCGATGCGTATGTGACTTGACAAGGACGTTGCCCAGTTGTGGAATGCTCACGTGATGGGTACTATTACGATTTTGTGCTCTATCTTATCTTATCGACTCTCTCGTAATCTCACTATGCTAATTCTCCGGACTTGATCGCATCCTACTATGCGGGTTCAGCATGTTTAACGTGCCGTTGCAGACACTTGTAGTATATTTAGCACGACCCAAACCGTATTTAAGTAGCTCGACTGCAGGTCTTAAACCTCAGTCTCGAACTAAAGTTTATTCACCCGATAACTTAGTCTGAACTCACTCTCGCTAAACTAAGCGATAGCTCCCTGCACGCAAACCTGCGAGCAACATAAAGCGCCTGACCGAAGTGCGAGTCACGCTTAGTTGTTTAATCTTGTTTGTGTAATCGGTCGCTAACAGGTACCGAAACTCTTGACGCCGCAGATCCCTTCGAGGTTGCCAACATGCAAGTTTGGTATGGCTGCCTTGGGAAAGACGGTCTTCGATTGGCCATCAAATGTCGCGACCATTTCTTGGACACAAGGGACAAGTTCTATGCGCTCGGAGGCCATCGGATTGAGTGGGCATTGTGGAAGAGGTATTTGGAGGATGCGGATGAGTTTTTGGTAGAGGATTCCGAAGGGGAATTGGATCCCGAGGAGAAGAAGAGGGATGAGATGTGCCTGGGCATGGGTGCCATCAGCGTTCCGGCACTGGATGAGCTGGAGCTTCTTGTTATGAGTGATGAGGAGGAGGAAGGAAGTGGAGGGGAAGATAGGGTGGACGAGGATGTGGTGATGGGAGAGTTGGTGCACGCGGAATCCTAAGCGCTCTTCTTGGACTTGTATATATTTTTTGGATGTTGTCTTGTACATGGATTTTGAAGTGCAGGCCCCGATGGGCATAAATATATATATATATCTTGGCTTGTAGGCTTGAGTGAGTAAGAGGGAGAAGGAAAGCAAGAAATAGGCACCCGATGGGCTCCATTCCCAATTAGGAAGGTAATTTGCAATAGTTTTCCAGGATTTGATTTGAAATTCAAGGAGTGGAGACCATAGGGAGCCGATAAGTTATGGGTAGGTCAAGAAGCAATGGGCGAGGGTTTGAGGGAGACTTTGCAGATGGTGACTTTGGATAGCGGTCCTGGTTTGTCTGGGTAACGTTGGTGGAAGTCTTTTATATATTCGTCCATGGAGAATTCTGTAGCGGGGATCCAGGCGAACTCTTCATCGGTACCTTCATAACCCAACCATTGGACTCGGTATAGGAGTGGACAGCGGAACCGACAGTCGAGTTTAGAGTCGAGGATTTGAGAGATCTCATACTGTTCCTCACCGTCGACTTCAACTGGAGGTGGTGGAGGTTGGGTACGGTTAGGGATAGTATTGGTCTCCACGGGTTCAAGTTGGGAGACATGGAACACAGGGTGAATGGAGCAGAGGTCCGATGGGAGTTTGAGAGTGAAGGAATGGGATCCTGGCTGAGCAATGATATTGAATGGTCCTAGGAATTTTTCGGCAAATTTCGCAGTAGGGCGAGTAGTTCTGATATGTTTAGAGCTGAGGTAGACCTTGTCACCTACTTTGAAGTCAGGAGCCGGGGACTGCCGCTTGTCCGCTTGTAATTTGTAACGGGACTGAGCATAAGTGATTTCATCTCGAAGGAATTGGTGGAGCTCATCGAGGTTAACGATGAAGTCATGGGCCCGAGCGGAGGCAATGTCGCGTTCAGAATGTACAGTGATATTGGGATGATAGCCTTTGTTAGCAAAGAATGGGGAGATTCTGGTGGAAGCATTGAGAGCATTGTTGTAGGCAAACTCAGCAATGGGTAGTAAGGTATCCCAATTGTCTTGTTGGTAGGAGCAGTAGATACGGATGTACTGTTCCAGAGTTTGGTTAGCGCGTTCAGTTTGTCTGTCGGCCTCCAGGTGATATCCGGAAGTGAAGTGGAGCTCCATATCCAAGGCTTTGGCAAGAGCACGTGTGAACTGGGAGACAAATTCAGAGCCGCGGTCAGATGTTATATGGTTGGGAACACCATGCTTAGCGAACACATGGTTAACGAATAACTGGGCCAGCTCCTCAGAGTTGATGGTGTCATGAGTGGGGATAAAAATTGCTTGCTTACTTGCACGGTCGACAACTACGAGGATAGCAGTGAATCCGTTGGAATCCGGTAGTTGTTCGATGAAATCCATAGAAATGGAATCCCATGGGCGTACTGGGACCAGCAAAGGTTTGAGTAAGCCAAAAGGGCGGTGTCTAGGTGTTTTGTTACGTCCACAGGTAGTGCAGGATTTAACGTAGTGGCAAACGTATTCACGCATCTGTGGCCAGGTGTAATTCCGTCGGACAAGTTCGAGAGTCCTATTTTGACCAAAATGCCCTGCCAAGATGTGGTCGTGATTGTTTTGGAGAACGCGAAGATGGAGATCATCAGAGTCTGGGACATAAATGCGACTGTCAAGACGTAGTAGTCCTGATTCATCCACGGACCACCGAGAGGAGTTGGAAGAGGATGATGCGAGTCGGAAGCCTTCAGTGGCAGCGGAATCCAACGGCTGTGCATTCTTGATATCAGAGTGGAGCTTGTCGATGTCCATGATAGCACTAGTGCGTAAGACAGGACCTTCAAGGAATGTAGCGTGGAGTGAAGTGGAGAGTTGTTCTTGAGTGAAAACGGGTCGGAAATTGTGAGGATTGACTTGAGCATATTGACTATCCCCCTCTTTAGGGTAGACGTCCCATCGTCTAGTGAGGGCATCCAGTTTCCCACCAAGTTTCCCTGGTTGGAACCGAATAACAAGGTTGAATTGGGAGAGGAATTCGGACCAGCGCACTTGATGTCGAGTAAGGACCTTGGTAGTAGAGAAATACTCAAGGTTCTTGTGATCTGTAACGACGTCCACAGCCTCCGCGGAGCCTTCAAGGTAGTGGTGCCAGTATTTGAAAGCTTCGAAGATGGCTAGGAGCTCTTTATCATGCATATCGTAGTTGAGTTCGGCACCGTGGAGACTCCGGGACAAGAAGGAGATGGGATGGATCTCACCATCCTCTAGGTAAATGGATAGGATGGCG